CGTCATATTTCCTACGAACCTTTTCTCTAGAAACAAAATTTCAGACGCAGGGTTTAACAACGATGATTAACCTAACAGGTTCAGAACATGTCCAGGCCCGTTCCACACAATTTGCCACGCAGACTCAAGCACGGGAGGGCGGTGGAAGACTTGTGTGTCAACACGACGACGTAGAGAGCTGACATTAGTGTGTTTGTCAACTCCTACCAAACACGATGGCAACAACCAAACCCACAAGTATATATAGACCCTCGAACACAATGAATGTTTGGGCAGTTGGAACAGGATGCTGAAGAGACATTTGTGGTTCTAGAGAAATGTATGTGAGTGTGCGGAGAGTGGGTTCAGAACGCAGTACATGTATCCGACAACTACGATGATCACGTGAATATCCTGGGGCAAAAATATTATGTGTTGCCCCCGATAGGTATCAGCAATCCTGAACATCCACTCTTAAAACTATTTATTTTACATCCATTTTAATATTATCCTCCGACTTATGCCTGTTTTCCACGTGGGCTCTTCCCGTTAGGGCCTCAGACATTTTTTCATCTTTCCCCTGCGTGTTTAAGGATCAGACACGTCTTTATAAGTAACTACGTCAGAGCTCGACAGCCAACTGCTGGTAACCGGTGGCGTTTGACCCACTGTTGCCTTGAGCAGTCAACGAAGCTACAGGTGAAGGGGACAAAGCAAATAGTCACAGGCAGAACACGTGTTTGTATAACTAATCTGTATTGCATTTGGTCGGGGCATAATTGATTACGCTATCGGCGCTTCAGTTCCCCTTGTATCCTGAAAAAGCAAATCTCCTCGTTGCACTCTGTAGTGTAATGACAAGAGAACAGTATGCAGGCAGACAAAGCTGGCGTCCTCTTACAGAACAATATCGAGTATTCGTTCATTTTAAAGTAAATCTCTTTCGAACATCCTGCCTCATTATTTCTTTCCAGAACAGAGACGAGCTCAGTACATTCCCTTCTTACCATTGATCAAAATATATAAATAATCCCAATAAAATGAGTGGGTGTAATAATGCAATTTTTATACGAGACGCTCTGAATGACGAAGAAAAATCTGCTATAGACCTGCATCTTTGAGCCAACAGAAGTAACAAGGAAGTCCTTGGGTGGCTGGAATACCACGGCTTCTGTGATACAACTTCGTGAGTTAAGATTCTTGCCAGCGCATCCGCGAAAAGACAATAGAAATGAGACGTGATCAGACCCTTTATGCGTGATATTTGTCTCAAATTTTCATTACGGTTCTTACTTACTGGAATGACTCATATGGAAGGGAATATTTATTATTTTCTTTGTTATTCCACAACTATGATATTGTTATTGCTAATTCCTTCTAACACGATAATCAGTAAGACGTACAAAACGACTTATTTGTTAGGACAGTACGTTTTTGCTCAATATTCTGACACCCAAAATGCCAAAGGTCCCTCCGTTACCCATGTAAGAAGTCAAGAATTGTTTAAATTATCTTCGTGAAATTTAATACTGGAAAATTTTCGCTACAATTCGTTGGTTAAGTTCCAAATCTCGTTAATATATGACAAAAATAATTCACACTTTACATGAATAGCTGCGTGTTTTTTTGCAAACATCTCGGGCGTTTAATTCCAATCAAACGAATGTAATTTTTTCCACGAAAATTATATCTTCAAGTTTATCCAGGAAACCTACCAAATAATCAGCATTACTCTGGTGGTTAATCATTATTTAGTGCTCGGTGTTGGAAAATTAAAAATAACATATTCTATTTACCATTTTAATTTTAATTTACAGATTTAATTACTAATTTCCAGGGGGAATCACTGCTTCGATCTGGTTCTTTCCAAACAACAAAGTTAAATGTACTTCCACTTTCGACCTCATGTTGTAGAATAAAATTCTATCAATAATTCGAGTGACAAACAACAATATAGCTGATATGTCACATAATTACAAATGTTTTCTCATACTACGTAATTTTGACGGGATGGGGGAGAGGTAGAGAGAGAGAGAGGTATATCAGCCTCACCTAGCCTCAGAGATGTAGTTATGTATTCAAATACACTGTATAGTGAATAGTCAGAGACGGTAATATAAAAAATTCTTGCATTAAAACCTCTAACCTAACCTAACCTAACCTACGTGCAATACGCTCAGTGATCACGTTCCGATTTTAACAAGTAGCGAGTCAATCTTGCGCACAATGTTTCCGAACGATACAGGAGAAAGTGAAAATTTTCACGAATATATTAACGAAAATAATATATCGCGTGCTACACGGGACGCTACAATTGAATTGCATGGGAATATAAAAGAAGGGAGAAAACTAAAATAAGTAAGTTCACGTTATTCCAGCTTCTGAAACATGTGATTATGACGTACATTGGTTGGAGAGAAATATAGAGATTTTCTATGCTATAATTTTTATCTTGTATGCATTCAAGGATATTACACATAATAGCATTCGGCCTACGAGTATAACAAATCCGTATAATGGAAATTTCAAAAGACTGTAATATGCCGTATTCACTTCGCACAGTTCTTCGGCTAAAACTGAATATTACATTCCTCCATACGCAAATCATATAAATTTCTATTTTTATTTATTTATACTTTCTGTTTATTTTGTAAAAAAAAAATTAATTGGACCAAGGTTGACAGTACAAACCCACGTTTCTCTTTCAATAGTATAAAGATAAAATCCACAAATATTCCCATTTTATATAGCCTATATTACGGACTATCATCAAGTGACATACGATCAGGAAAACAAGTTAAAATTCAAACTTTTTCGTTTTAATTCAATGCGTTAAAAGGTTAAAATCAGAATAATAAAACCATAACCCCTACAAGGATCCTTGTTCAGACTGTAGTATATGCTGGTTTACGATAGAGTTCCTACAGGTAATATATCTGCTTGCACAAAGTCTTTTTAAATAAATGAAGTACCTAACACGAACCAGCAAATTCGTCTCTGAACCTCTGAAAAAATATTTATCTATCGGTCTCAATACATACGTCATATTTGCCAATAACACTTCATCTCCACAGTCCACTTCGCTCATCGCGACAAAGGATAAATAACGTAGCGTAGTATTTATATTCCCTTTTCCTTATTCGAAAATTCTTCTCCGAGGTTTGAAGTGTTTCGTGGTTTTCCCTTTATGTCAAGGCAATGAACTGATTCTACCAAGATCGTTCATAATCATACTTCATGACACAGGAATTAAAGCAATATACTTCTCAGGCAACGAATTAGTAGTCGCCCTGTACGACGAAGGACGAACGAATAAGTGAATGAGTCAACCTCTAAGCCTGAGAGAGAGAGAGGCGAGCGAATCTGATGTAGCAGCCATTGCCGTGGTTAGAAATTACTTCCGCCCAATTTCCCGCCCCAGGAAGGGATTATTTCGGACCGAGTGAGAGAATTGAAAGGGCTGAGCTCCAGGGTAGCAAAAGGGGTGGAGGGCTAGAACGATGCAGACGTAGATCGGTCCCGATGAAATATGGCGTTTTGAAGTAATTCTACTTAAACTCCTGTAACGGCGGTCTTCGAACAACTATACAACTAGATACCAAGCCAAAAAGGAGAAATCGACCACACAACTTCGATAGGTATCGAAGCAGCTGTGAATTCGAACGTAACTTCGATAAACCACCCCCAGACTTACAAGTGGCGATCCTTTATCCGTGTTGAATTCATGAGATTCGGAAATAATAGGATCTCCGTCGTCGGGTTAGAACGCTGCCTCCATAGAAGTCGGCTTCCTGAATTGAATGCCCTTTCGAGCTAAACCAATGCAAATTAAAAAGTCAGGCGTCGAAAATAAGGCATTTTTGTCAAACATGAAATCAAATTTGACGGAGCTTTAAGTCATCCTTTTGATATTCTACTCACTATATACAAATTTATTTGATGGTGTTAAAAGTTCTTCTGTGGTAAAAATGGCACAAGTTCCAGGGCAACCGAAGGCACGAAAATATCGTGAAAATAAGATGTAAAAGCCTCTTGGCAATTTCCTCGAAACAAAACTCCAATCTTCTTGCCTTTGAATATTAATATTTTTTATACTACATACAAAAAAGAACAGTTCTGGAAACAGCGTCGTGACACCTACTTTTCTTCTGACGATTCAGTCTATATTACGAGGCTAGTAGGAACTTCACACAAAATTTGTAGGTACGTTTATGACAAATCTCCGTAACAAACTTCACATATAGCTACAGCGTTTCGTTAGTAAAATCAAAGAAAGTTTTCACACAGCCAACTTAACCGAAATTAAGTCACACATTATTATTACTGACTTACGAGGCTTAGGTGATGACCAGTGGTGTAACGCACACCAAAATTCATGAAAATTGGTTAACTTGTTTAAAGTCTTTAAGTAGACAAGTAACAAGCCTACTTCGCTTCCAGAAAGAAAATAGTCTAAAACAACGTAAAGTGATCCGAGCTTTGTAGCACGCTACAGTGGCCTTTAGAAGAGCACCATAATCATTCAATTCATTTCCAGTCAAAACCATTCCTTTTTTCTGTCTAATGCTCAACCCGTTAGACAAATCCTGAATCTGGGGCATTTTCAGTAATATTTTCTTCACATTAATTTATTTATTTATTTATTTGTGATTTCTTTAATGACAGTCCCTCAGATTATATAGTCAAATGATGGAACGATTACTGAATACCAAATTGGAAGGAAGTGGTTGTGGCCTAATTTAAGGAACTATTTCAAAATATGCCCGGAAGGACTACGGAAAATCACGGAAAACTTCATTCAAGATAGCCGGTCTCTCGGCCAAGATTTGATCCCGAGACTCCCAGACACAAAGTAGGTACGATAATCACTCGGCTGCAACATTCAGTTCCGCGCTGAACGCTTTACGAAAAATTCCTTCCGATTACATTAACTACATGAAATAACTGTTTTACACACATGGTGGCAGCACAGGACAAGGATAAGACTTTCAAGGTGTAGTCACGTAATAAGACGAGAGACCTCAGAATTTGACATTTCACTTTACTCCACAATAAGTAACATTATTACAGGAACAATTAATTAGCAATAAAAACTAATCCAGCCCCACAGAAAGCTATTATAAGAACACGGTGTACTTTCTTTTACAGAACTCAATCTACATAAACAGAAACCCAGCATCCAGTATTCAAAAATGGACGATGATACGACTAAGGAACAAATACATTCAATAGGTAAAAGCAAATTGTCTTCAATAAGTTATTTTCTGAAGATAATCGAAGTTCAAATTACCTGTAACAAAAACAATTACTTGAAAAAAAATTAAATTACAAATTGATTTCTTCTACATTTTCCTGAAGTCATTACTTTCTACTTCAGTTCAGGTCAAACATCAAATTCTGCCGAACATGCCAGACTTCTTACACTAAGCATACATTTCCTAACTTGTTATGACTTACAACGCATTTCACGTATGTTTGGATGACAAATGCAATTCGTCTAAACAAGTTAAACTTGGTACAGAGATTCTTTAAGGACGTACTGTATAATTTTCCTATAACACTGAGGTGAGAACGAGCACGCAACGTTGAGTAAAGCTTCATTCATCGCATCCGCCGGTTCAAATATCGATGATGACTGGTCTCAAACCGAAGACCTTTGACATAAGAATACTCTGGATTCCAAGTCTTCTCATAAAGGCAACATAAAAACATCAAAACTGTGATAAAATATCAGATGCTAACCTTCCTGAAGCTCCTGAAGTTTCTGGTCGTCAGTCGCCCTGCTGTAGTCTTTTAGCTCGATCCAGTAACTGCTGTTTCCACTGCTCCCCCGACACCTCGAGCGCCCACGCAGGTATTGATAATGGGGGAAGGGAAAATTTTTCCATGGCAATTCTCACTCGTTCAGCTTGATCCAACCCCATTTCAATGGCGTTACCATTCGAAGAACCAGACCACAACTCTTTCACTTCAGCACGTCTGTCATTTTCAAGGTTACACTGACGATAATTAAAAATTGAGTATATAAACACAAAAGAATTATATGCACGCATAAAAACACAAAACTCAACATGCAGACTGAACAAGAATTAATCTAGTATCAACAAGCTTGTATTACTTTCCAAAATACAACACTTCCAATCGAAATTTGTACTAAGACAGCTTAGAAAGTCGGGGTTTATAAGCGACAAAGGTAACAAATTTCATCGGCTGCTAATTTTTATTTACCCATTACCTGATCTAAGACCACGTGTGAAGCACCAGCGTCTTCTGAGTCTACAGGGTCAGCAACGATGACATCTGCCACGGATGATCCGGGAAGAATGTCGGCACTCACCGAATCCTAGAAAGTAACAACGTAATTTTCCTACAACTCAAATTGTAAAAGAAGCTGACACACACATCAATTAAAAGTTATCATAAATAAACACACTTCGCCCTTTCTGCGCATTAATTAATTGCTAAAAACAAATTAATCTTAAAACATGCAATCATAATTACAACAGGCATAATATGAAGTCTCAAAAATCTTCGTTGACTTTAATTACTGTTGTCAATGTTGTTTAAGGCCAACAAAAAAAGTTCAGATTTGAAAAATGCAAATATTTTTGTGTCAGAATTATAAAACTTGCTCAATGCAACAGGCAGAAATATTACAGTAACAATTACCTGTCCTAAATGTAGTGATAAAATTTAACAAAAAAAATATAAAACTGTGATAATACATAAAAAATTAAGAAAACAAAAGCTTAAGCTGCCCTCATAACAGCAAAGCCGCTAAACTATGCAGGAAATAAATGCCTAAATAAAAATAAAATTATTAAATATCTAAATTAATAAAAGATATATTGAAGATGGCTGTCTTCTGGGTTGTTGCACCATGAAAACCTCAAATCCTTCTACTTATAACCTGTATTTCTGTTAAACAACATTCCTCCTTTTTAAAATGTCTTTCAAAACAATTACCTACATAACCTGGCCCCACTAAAAATTGTAATTTATTTTATTTGTGGTCTTATTGCCAATGATGTCAAGAGCGTATACTACATAGCATAAAATGAAAGGAATAAAGAAATAAAGGATATGCAAGAAAGTGGTCGTGGCCTAATGTGTTATGCCACCCAGTACCTGCCTCAAGCGAGTGAGGAAAAATCACAAGAAACCTCATTCAGGATAGCCAATCTATGGGCTCAGCTTTCAACCCAGGACATCCCAAACATAAAGCCATATAATAACCACATATTTGCCACATTCAGACCTTTTGTATGTAATAACTGGTAAAATACTTAACACTTTCCCATAAATATTTCTAAATGTAGGCCCGCAAGGAGCATGGATAATCCAAAATATTCCAACTAGGCTTTAAAAATGTTTCCCTTTAAAAATATGATTAGAAACCACTGCTTGCAGTCACTCATACCCACATCTTCATTTTCAGTATTATTAAGATCGTTTGGTCCTTGTGCAAGAAGTTGATAACCACTGTGAACTGCATCTTCATCCTCACTGTCAGAACTATCTTGCTCCACTACAACAATTCCTGTTTCAGCCGTGAATAGATTCTCATCGTACTCCTCATGTGGGGGCTCTGGTTTCCACATTCCAACCATGACTCCTAAAGCATAATCAATGCAAATTGTGAGATCCAAGAAAAATTATTTGTAAATATTGTTTTTCTCACAGAAAATTAGTGTTGTGCATAGAAATACGGGGAATGGCTTGCCAAGGAAGCTCTGGAGGGAACAGGAGACTTCAAAATTGGAGGAAGAGTGATAAAGACTGTAAAGTATGCAGACGACTTAGTAGTATTGGCGAAGGAAGAGGAGGAATTACAGAACATGATGGACAAGTTAGTGGAAACAGGTAGAGAGTATGGAATGGAAATCAACATTGAAAAAGCAAAGGTAATGAGGATAGCACCGAGAGCAGAACCATTGAACATTGTAATTGGAAACCAACAGATGGAGAATGTGGAGCATTTCAAGTACTTGGGAAGCATAGTCACGACGGACGCCCTATGCACCAAGGAAGTAAAAGCAAGGATAGCCATGGCCAAGGCAGCTTTCGTCAAGAAGAGGATACTTCTCACTAGCAAGTTGGGCTTGGAGATGAAGAAGAAACTAGTGAAGTGTTACATATGGAGCAGAGACTTGGACACTCAGGAAGAAGGAACAGAAATACCTGGAGAGTTTTGAAATGTGGTGTTGGAGAAGAATAGAGAAGATCAGGTGGACGGATCGAGTGACCAACGAAGAAGTATTGAGGAGAGTCAACGAGCAAAGAAACATTCTGCAGGCGATTACACGAAGGAAAGCTAACTGGCTGGGACATATTATGAGAAGGAAGGGGTTACTGAGTGATCGTAAGACAGAACACTTAATAATAATATAATATAATAATAGAAATACTTTTCAAAGTGACATATTAAAATGTCAAGAATGGACAAAGTCAAAAATACCACTTTTACAGACTGTGCCACATTCTGCTTACTTACCGTCTACATACGATTACAACATTAGAATAAAATACAGTTGCACCTTATGCTTAGACAGGATGACAGTTGGATCATCCTAACAATTATGTGTATGCCTAGGTGATACATATCTGCTATACAAAAACCAAAGAATCTCAGTCAGGATAGGTGGTCTTGGGGCTCAGATGTGAACCTGGGACTTCCCAAATATGAAGTATGAATACCACTTGGTCATTATGTTCAGTAAAATTTGACACTGAAGTTGCATCCACTGTACTATTAGAAATAATTATTTGCATATTTTAAAGTTCATATGATGTAATGTTTCATTTTCTGGAGTGAACTGAGAGGGCTTCATAAACAATCAGTAATATAGGGAGACATGTAACTCTTTATGGATCTAAATGTACTTCTGGTGATTTGCAGGCATACAAGTGAAATTGTACAGTATATAACAGATAAATGCAGAAGTTTTAACAAAACACAGAAATTCAGAACACTCACACACACACCAAAGATTAGACCTCAATGTCTGGTTGTACAGAATCAAAGTTTTTATGGAAAGTGTAATGATCACGCTTCTTCAATTATACAATACATTTCTAAATCAAGAGAGGAAGTTGAAGAAACGAACACAGTGTCACAAGAGCGGCTCAGCTCCTGTTACAACATAAATTCCACTCTCTAGATATGTATGTCTCATTAATTAGTAGAATGTAATGTTCAGTTGTATCAGTTTCTTTATAAAGATTAGTAGCTTGTTGGACTATGATGTTTCTGATTGAAATTCAGTTGTCATTTTGCATTTATATAATTTTAAGGTGAATGTTCAGTAGAGTAGAGTAGAGTAGAGTTTATTTACATTCCATAGATCCTTCTTAGGACTCAACCAAAGGATGTAGAACATGTCATTTCATACAATATACATACACTTCACAACTTTCAACACAAGTACAAGAACGTATTTCACATATCAATGTACATAAATTTCAGATTCTGCAATACAAGTATGAAAAATAATTTTACAAATTAATATACATAAACCTCAGAATTTTAAATATAAATACAAAACTTGCTTTAACATATACATAGATTATGGATATAAAGCTTAAACATTTTCAGCAGAGATGAAATCATCTACAGAATAGAAGGAGTGAGTAAAGACATAATCTTTCAATGCAGGCTTTAATACCCCAAGTTTAAAAAGAACTGCATGTCGATCCTAAGTTAAATATATTTGTCACCCATTTTCGTGACGAGCCATCGAAACACTACATCAAATAGAGCTAGATTTGACGAGACAAATTTGATACTCTTTCGAGTACATCGTACTTCACGCACGGTTGGTAGCGCTTTCCACTGACCACAGAGTAGCTCACGCTTCGCAGTGTTGCCAATCACGTTATTTAGCTGTCACACCCCGTATCATCCATACAGCTTGTATGTAACTATAGCCAAAATTAGTTGTTTTTCCTTCAGAATGCAAAATATACCCTAATATGGCGACCGCGGTTGTGGAACTACGTTTTAATTTCTGTTTATTGGTTATGACAAAAAATGTAAACATTGATGTAAAATTTGACGCTTATCGAATTTAATATACCTACCTGCAATAGTTCGTTAGTCATACAGCATATATTTTAAACTTTGAATTAAATATTTTTGTGTTTTAAAATACGGAATATGTTGCTACTATGTTAAAGTTTGAGGTTGTATCTGACAGCTGTAAGGAAGTACGAGGTGCGATTGGAAAGTTTCCAGACTGCGCGTATAAAAACCCGTACACTTATCTCAGGTATTAAATTCATCCATCACCCTCGAAGTATGCAAGTCATTTATATATATATGAGGAAAAGTAACGGCCCAAGAACTGAGCCTTGTGGCACTCCGTGATTTACGATACCCCATTCTGAATAGGTATTATGATTGGTATGGGGGCTTTCAAGTTCTACTTTCTGCCTTCTATTATTTAGGTAGGATTTAAACCATTGTCTTGCTATACCTCGAATTCCATAAAATTTCAGTTTCATTAGTAATATTTCATGGTTTACACAATCAAATGCCTTGGCTAGGTCACAAGATATTCCACCCACATGCATTTTATTGTTAAGGGCGCATACAATTTCATTTGTGAAACTAAATAGAGCCTTTTCTGTTGAGAGATTTTTTCTAAAGATGTATAAATAAATACGTAGATACATAAACATACGCCACTTGACTTCACCTCGACTTCTACTTTTTGTTACAATAATTGTGTAGTGAATACTATTGTAATAACTTCATAATACGTTTCAATGCTTTCATGACCAACTGCACCCTTATCATTTACAATGAATTATATACACAGAAATCTATATTACCTTATACAGCAGACTGTTTAAAACGAATACCAATACTTATACATCATTTACCGTAAACAACTAATTCACATTCATATAAACCACGGATAAATAACGTAGCGTAAGAAGCAAACACGGAATATAGTGCAATGATGGCCTAGTCCACAGGGAATTTAGCGATACTGCTGGGACTAGTGAAACGCGCCCGATCGTAATAGTGGTGGTGGTAACTTTTAGGTTATGTGAACTTAGATATGTTACAAATAAGACAACATCAGAAATAAATTTCTGTAGCCCTCATATTTACTAAAGAATTTCCACAAAAGTCGGACATCTGACGGATAAAATATCAAATAACATGACAAAACAAAGATCAATAGATCGGTCAAATAAATTGAATAACGCACCGAGAGGACAGCAGGGGCCGAAACTATAGAATTTTACCAAGTCCAGCCCAAGCTCCTGGTTTATTTTATGTTACCTGTAACCTTCATTTGCCAGACTTCCTTTATTCCAGCCTGCATAAAATCTGACCTATGGGTTGAGAACCCCTCTTTTAGGGGATCTGTACAAAAAAATTGTGCTCTACGGTGAGCCTTCAGACCTATTAAAAGGGACATAACTCAGTTAACCTTACCTTTGGCTAATAAATTCTGTAGGTGATTACATTCCTCATCTTTTTCAACAGCTTCACAGAAAGTCTGCATGTCAGATAATGCAAATTTTTCTACCAGACATGGAATAGATGCAATATCATTCAGTATATCAGGAAATATACGTTTAATGAAACTTTCTATACTTTTCAATGATGGCTCTAAGATGATCTGGAAAATTAATACACATTTTAATTGTGACATTCGTGTGAAAGAGCCACTATGAGTACAGAGCAGTATGGCTGTTGAACAAGAACCTTACCACATTTGCAGTATACAATAAATTTATACCACATACACTTGGGTCCTATAATTCAGTCCACAATATCTAGGTGATGAAAGTGTGTTATAAATGGCACCATAGTTCCTTTCAAATATACTATATCAGAAGTCACATTTTGGAGGCAATAATGGGATTCCAGTATATTATTATTGAGATATTTAACAGGGTGCAGTTATTTGACAGACAATAAAATGAAGAGAAAGATTAAACATTCTTGAACTGAATATGAGGACAGAAGACATACAACATGACTTGTCTGATCACATTTTAAAAGTGGATACTGAAATATGTGTAAAACAAATATTAAAGTAAGTTATAGTGGAGAAAGTGAAGGAAGGCTTGTAACCATAAAATATGGTGATAAAGCAATGTCAAGAGACCTGATCCATGATGTTAAGAAATATTTAGCATGTGTTTACTTTCATAATACTTGCCTTTGGACTTCCTGTATGCACTCATACATTAAGATTAAACTTCTTCTTACTTACTGTATTGTTCTTGAATGTGGTAGAAACTTTGAGCATCTGTCTTGGACCTGCAAGTCCATCCCCATGCACAGCTTCCAACATGATCTGAAGAGACCCCCTTACACACTGTTTTAAAGCCTCCTCAATAACAGCATCCATTTTATTAATGTAGGAAACCCAGCGTTGGCCTGTCTAAAAAATAATTTAACTTCTTCATTACATTCTGTTGGTATATAAACCCTTTTTTATAACTTTGTAACCTTATTAATTTAACTGTTTGTTCTCTAATTGCATTTGGTGATAGTAATATATTAGTGATTTCTTTGTTCTGAACTATGTCAATTGTCTGTTTTCAAGTCTTAAAAACCTTGATCCATCTTCTTCAAAAGTAAGAGGGGGGGAGACATACCTAACAGACTGAGCTATTCCTGATATGTGGATCACAAAACAGGTGCCACTCCTCCTTTTACATACAGACAAAGGGAGGTCCATCCTTCAAAATGTTGTAATTTCATAAGGTTTTAAGATTTTGAAAAAACACACACACACACACACAATGGATACAGTCCAAAACAAAGAAAGTACTATAATTAGTGTGCAAGAAGAGAAGTTAGGTAAATATGGTACATATGACACCCACACAACAAATTCTTTCAAATGTTATGGTTCAACAAAGGGTTATAATTGGATATAACCCATGGTGTGGGCTTTGTGTACCTCACATTCATAAATATTTTACTGTCAGGGGTGAATGATGGTAAATAGATTCACTGCCTTCAGATAATTGAAAGTAGGCTCTGACTCACCAGTGGTTTATACTCTTCAAATCCTTCATACACAGATCTTACACACTGTATGATATGTTTGTAGTGAGCAAGTATCTTAGTCATAGCTTCCTCCCTGAAAGAAAAATGTTAAGGAACACAAAAAACATATTGAACTAACTGAATGAAGAAGAGTCCTTGAGAAGTTAACAGTCACTGAGCTATTCAATAAATTCTCCACTTCTTATGTGCAGAGTAATTATGAATTCTCATAAAGCCAAAATATGACAATAAAAGATTTGAATCTTGTAAAATTCCCTAACCTTTACCATCCATGTGAACCAGTTAGTGCCCTCACTATGCTCTGGCTAGTTTCTTTGTGATCATTTTCATTGACGCCTGTCTACATACATCTTTGGCACAAATGACGGGTTATGTGAGATGACAGGCCTGAGTAAAATGTATATACAAATGGACCTTTCTGCAATATAATAGAACTGCATCCTACTTCACCTCAATTATCTAAGGAATGCCTGAACTTCAATATTAATATAACTCTAAATGGTTCTGACATCGGCATGTTACATTCAATATTTCTGTCCAGGCATTAGTCCCTTCTAACGGAACCAACAGAGTAAGCAATGTCGCCTGAATATGGAAGCACATCTAACTCAAGTGGTATAACTCTTAGAATTCTAAGCAGTGGATCAAGTCCAGAGGAACAGCAGTACTGAATTCAATATTAAACTCTTGAAAGTCCTTCTGTAGGTGGTAATGTGTACAGAGTTTCATACTTACATCTTTCAACACGTCATAAATATGTTATATAAATCTCCATTTTTACTAGCTTATGAAAATTACGTAATTTTGTTGTAAGTTTCAACTAAAACAAGGACTCACATTGGTTATAACAACAATAAAATAAAAATGCCCTAAGAGTATTCCCACAGATTTACACTTTTGAGAAATACTGCAGTGCTAATAATTACATAAAAAAACTAGCATATGTGATATTTTTATTTTTGTGTATACTTTCCAAAAATTAATAATATCTGTGAAATAGTGATATTACAGAAGCTCAATTTTTGTGTACTGCTTCATAAAGAGTCATACATTTAGAATGCCAAGTGTCATTAAATTTTATAAGAGCAAAGCAACATCCATTTGTCAACTTGACCCATAAATGTTATACAATTATGTTTACTTTAGGGAATGTTAAAAGATCTGTTACAATACATGAATACAATGAATTGGATCAATTATTTTATGATTCATTGTTCCAAATCATACAGTATATGTAATAAAATATTTACAAAATATAGCTTCTGCATTTAACCTTCATTGGCCAGGTTAGTTTCTCACCTGCATTTAGTCAAATGGTAATCCAGTTCCTTCAATTCATATACATGACTATTATCCACATGAATGAATGATGTGTCACATATTTCTTCACAAATGCTTACAATCTCCAGATTAGATTTCTTAAAATCATCCACAAAGTCTTGTAACTACAATAGAAAGATGTTTTATTTGACTATGAAAATGTGTCAGAATAAGATATACACCAATTTTGATTTATATGAAGAACTATGTCATCCCATCAACTAAACTGAACACCTAACTTCTCTTCCCCTGTAACTGCACTCTCTGAATGAATTTCCAGTTTCCTTTTTATCCAAAAGCACTAGGTATTCTATGCAAAGTAAACTTTAAACCATGATCCTCTTTAAATTTTAATTGCATATATAGTTTGTGGTTTCACATAATAAACTGACAATATCACAAAAGGGTATTAAAATGTTTATTTCATTAAGTCTTGACATTGACTTATCTGTCTTTTGATTAAGTCTTAATATTTTTAAATTTCTATAGTGTAAATTAATTGAATGTTATATACTAGCCAGACATTAAGTTAAAAATATGCTGTTTAATTTTCTGTTAGTGGCAAAATGGCTCGCTAAATCAAATTTTTTACAGAAGTCTGATGATTGCATCACTTATTCTCCCATTTCAATGGAACTGTAATATCTTCCATACCTAGACCATAAGCAACAGAAATGAGTGAGAGAACAGTCACTTCCCTAGTTTATTTAATAATACTGTGGTAGTTACAGAGGTTGATGTTATACACTGTAAAATAAGAAACAGTACTATAATTAAGATCAGAATAACTTTTATTCTTACCTGAGATGTACGTATAGAGAATTCATATATATACACATCTGAGACATCAGTATTCCATTTAAGTTCCAGCAATGCACAGTTTATTTTCTTATCACATTCTTCGATCAACTCCCTGAACAATTCTGTCTCTTCATCTGATAATGCTGACATTGGAAGGAAAAAAGTATGTCAATTTTGTTAAAGATATTATCAAGGTACAGCACTTCACAAGAAAATTATTTTCATAACATCTGCCTCAGGTTAATATTAATAATCAATATTATTTTGCAGTATATCCTGGAAAAGTAGTTTCTAACATCTAACATAGATGGGATGATTTATGAGAAGTGTTTAAGGCCTCCCATTCAGTCTTTTTATCAAACTTAAGAGATGAAATTGAATTGTTGAGTGTAACTGCATGCGTGGTGTAAATTTTAATGATTTGCATGTAACACAATGTGGACCCTCCCCAGGTTACAAAAAATGTTATATAATTTGAGCTGCTGAAAGCAATATGTAACAAACTATAAATTAAAATAATCATCACCATTCTATGAACTACAAGTAAACAGAATCCATTTCAGTTATTGGCGTGCAACCAAATGCATCAAATTTCAGAAACTTCCTAAGTGTACCATTATGTGTATAATGTATAAATATACTTTTAGTCTCAGATTTACAGTACACAAATTATAACACACACTAAGAAATTATGTTCAAATTAATTTTACCTTCTATGATGTGGTTATAATCCAACACAACAGTGAGAACCCTCTCATACAGCAATTTCAATTTATCCCATTTCTTATATACCGATTGGATAACAGATGGGACTCCAAATTTCAGTCTCTCCCATTCCCTTGCTTCACAACACACATTTAGAATAACCCTGTAAAAATAGCAATCATTAAGCACAATTTAATATTGAAGGTAATAAAATGTATTATGCCAAGTTAGGTGTCATAGCAGAATAAAATTAAATCTGTGACTTTTAATGTCAGTATTAGTGATCATGTTAGCTACTTTGAGTCTATCAAACCTGATGCAAATTTGAATCAGTTAATTATTGAATAACAATGTACATAAGTTTTGATATACTTTTTAAAGTTTGAAATTAGTATCATACATGTATTTTGAATAGTCTAAATTGCCAGTGTGTTGATAAAAACCTGGATGATCACACATAATGAATGTTAACTAGCAATAACCATCATTGGCATGGATCACTTTATGCACTAAATCATATAATTTGGTATCCCAGCAGCAATTAGAAAACATAGGCTATGGGGAAATTGACATGGAGAATGATTTCATACAATAAATATACAAAATAAAACAAAACATGTTTGTGACCACAGTTCAGAATTTCATCATAACAATACACAACTTACCTGTCAAGATTAGGTTTCAAAAGTCCAGGTCTTCTATGGCTTTTAACCATCAATGGTCTGTCTAGTCTTGCATCCATATTTCCATCCAAACTATCATTCCATTTCTGATATACATCTCTCACTATATTTTCCATTGACTCCATGAGTTTCTCATACTGTGTATGTACTTCATGTTCCATTCCACAAGGAGGCAGCCACTGAGCATCATCCAGTATCTGACAAAGAAAGTGTCTACTTATTTAATATTATAGATGTGCTTAATTTCTAACCTGAGATTGGCAAAAGATATCAATTCATGAATTTGTTAACATAACTTCTGTCAAGTCAACTGTAAATACAAATTAAAATCTGTTCTATAACTATTGATGCTATTCAAAGCCTGGTCCAAGTCAATAATAAAAACAATGGATCCTGCAGAAATAAATTAATCAGCTACCACTGTACATCACCTACCTTACCTTCATTAACCTCATAAAATGTCTCTTCTTCAAGCGTGTCATTAAAGCTCGACCAGCAAAAGGAGGTAATCCTACTGGACAGGAAGTTTTCTCTTTAACCAAGTCTTTCTTTGTGTACTGAATCTCTTCACTAAAGAGCTTATACACCTATTGAGGATATTAACAAATGTCAACAGATGCATTAACAATGTGTCAGAATATGGATAATATTGACAGAATTAAACACATAATGAAGTGCAATGTTTACTCCTCTGTGAAACCAATCCAACCAACTGTTTTAAAGCAATAAAACTAGTGAACAAAAATACATAATTTTTTTAATCATCCAGTGACAGATTTTGAAAACTGCTTTCTTTAAATATACATGTCAGTATAAGCATCTTTGTTCTGTATATTGTTTTGTTTCCCACTCATGACTTTCAACTTAAATAAAGAATGTTTAAACTCATTGAATCACCAAATATAATACAAAGTATCAGGTACTCTACAATTTTTGTCAAACATTTGCTAGTGATCATGGACAGTCTTAAGTTTGGACATCCATAGATATTATGTGAAGTTCCTCAAACTCTCTCATATATTGGCTCAAACAGATCACACGAGACAACACTTTATCGGTGATTTTGTTCCTCTACTTTCATCATTTTCCTATTTTCTTTCCGTCCCTTATTGAACATAAAATTTAATAAAAAGAAACTACAATACATTTAAGACTGAAATATCTTGCCATTGCAGTACCTACAATTCATTATTTCACAACTATCACACAAAGATTTCCCAATTTCCCACAAGTATAAATGGCTCACCAGTTCGAGGATATGACACAAAAGAGTCTCAAACTGATGAGGTTTGGTTTTCAGAAAAATCAGGGAGTAGTTGGTGAGACACATTTCTTGTTGACTTTATGAGAGGAAAAAACTGTAAAGCTCACACCTCTAAAATGAAAAGGTTTCAGGCACTATATAAGCATTACTCAGACTTCATTTGAGTTTTCTTTCCAAATTAATTACCGCTCAGACTTGCTTTTGAGTTTTCTTTCCAAATTAATTACCCCTTTTCAGCTTTTTCAAAAATGAAACAGTTGTATCTATAAAAGTAGACAACTGAAGGTGAGTGCTTGTTAATACATTCTGCGGTGCAATGTAAAATGATCTAGAGCATGTGCTGATAAGCATACTGTATGAAGAGAGATAAACAATATGTAAGATAACTCACAGCAACAGTTTTGCAGACATACAAAGGGTGCAAAGCATCTCTTTTAGAATAATGGTAAAATGCTTGCAGAGCAAGAACTCCCTCCTCTACGTTCACTACTTGCTCAAAAACAGATACCATGAGATTTTTCAGTTTCACCTCAATATCTTTCATCTGGCCTCGGAACCTTTTACAAAGATAAATTAACATTATGAGAAGCATACTACATTACAGTTTCATGTCGGAGTATGTGTATAATTTTCTACACACAGCAATTCACTCTTTTGTCTACTATTTGAACAGTCATTCTGTAATAAAAAATGTAACCACAAAACTTATTAGACCATCAAAATTCACAGCATAAGTACCATGCTGGCTAGCTTGTATATTAATTTAGTATACTAAGTCCCCTAAAGTTTGTTTGTAAGTTAGATACCCAAGCCAGCATACACTAGCCAAATTAACCATGATTAAGCTGAAATATATATAACTTCTGCTTTTGGGTGTGAGCCATGTCAAATGTTGAGCATTAACCAAAGTTTCAGCAAACACTGCAGTTGCCTGTAGATATGCCAGTAAGTAAGAAAATATGTTAAAACATGAGCAATAATTAATTTCTATCTGTTACATTACTTTAAATAAGAATATCCCTTCCGATGTCTTACTTTATAATAGCATCACACCATGAAGAAGCTTTCACATCTAAGATATTCTGTTGGACATCTCTAATAGCTTGCAAATTTTCTGCAAATGACCTCTCTACATTCTCACATATATTTTCAAAATCTTCTCTTCTTGTTCCTCCAAAGTGGGGTTTTGAAACATTCTCTGTTTCATCCATCCTATAATACCAAATACATACACTAAAATTAGGTGTGTCTGAAATATTAATATGTGATACTCTCCTTAAGTTCAGAACTGAAATCATCCCTTTCAAAGTTCAAATTCTGAAGCCCTAGTTGATTTATCTTTATTCTCCAAAAAGCTTTCTTTGTTAACTTTAATAACAGGTCCCTTCAGAAATTTAACTGTGACTGTGTACTTAGCTGCCTACATTGTAGAAGTTCTTGGGTTTTCTTTTCTGTAGTGTGAAAATTGCATTTCTAACTGGACAGGTACCTCATAGTAATAGTGCACAATACTACAATTTAACCAAATGAATAAACAGATTCCTCCCCCCCGAAAAGCATACATACACATTATTACAGCATATTTATACATGAATGCTTATACACATACCTGCCAAAAATTATCATGGCTTCACATATTTCAATCATATCTTTGCATCTCTGTACAAATGAATCTATTTGGTTAAAAATGGGACCATTATCTATATCCCATGGAATATGCGAAGACTTTGAGTGGGTTTCTGCAATCTGTAATGACAAAAGCTCTATTAAAACAGGTTCCACAAATGCAAAGAAGTGAAAGGTGGTGAAGTGTTATATAAATGGCAGCTAAAAGAACTGAAATACTAAAAAAGGGCAGTTGATTCAAATACTGACTGAGGAAATGAGATCTTCCATGGTTTTTTCCTGTTTCTCCAGATAAATGCCAAAGATTATTGGGTCCAACCTTTCATTCAGAGTATTTCAATAGGAGTTCTCTAAATTCAAGTGTATTTTCACACTATTCTCAATTCTACATAGATGGTTTAGAAGTATACAAGCATAAATTACATTCTCTTTCTTAACAATAACAAATGGCAACCATTATAAATCACAGAAGACATAGGCACGCCAAATGATGATAGTTCTGATTTGTACTCAGAAGGTCCCTGTTTTCAGCCTTGGTCAGCAGACTGTCTATTTTGATAAATAAGTTCATGCTTTTCCATTTTACATGCAGGAAAATGCTAAGAAGCACCTTAAAATATAACACACCATCATTTTCCACTCCCTTTCCAGTTTATCACTCACAATCATGTGCTGTTAAACATAATTTGCTACATAATCTATGTAGTATGCAAAGCATTATTAAATAAATCAACAAATAAACAAGTAAAACTGCAGAACTAAGTCATAAAATGCAACAAAGAGTCATTCAGTGTGAATCATACCTCATTGTATTGAAGCCTGTATTTCAAACAACATTCAGTTATATTTTCAAATATCTTAATGCCTGCCCTTGTATTTCCTTGAAAGACACATTCAAGATTCACAGCCCTAGTACACTGCAAGATGACTTGGTTGCTAATTAATCGACAAAGTGCAGACAACTTTTCCCTGAAAGAAAAATAGTAATTGGAAATTAAACAAGTAGTTCAAAGTAACCTCATAAAGTCTTAGTCTGAGGCTAATCCAATTCCCTTTTATAGGACCCAACACAAACAGATATTGTCACCTCAAGACAGGAGCAGAGCAAGCTCCTAAAATGTAGTGGTCTTGTTTTAAAATACTAAACAATAGATGAAATCCAGAAGTTTAGAATATTTTCAGCTACAATAGGATTCAATACAACCTTTATTTTTAGTTTCTTACATTTTGGACAGGATAGGATTATGGCAAAGCCAAAAACTTGTAAAAGAATAATACTGTATTCTGCATTTAAACCTGAATAGAATGTTGGCTCATATATCATCAAAATATTTACAAATAAATACATTACTTTTTACCAATGTTAGCTCATATATCATTAAAACATTTACAAATAAATACATTACTTTTTACCTTGTATTATAATATGGTGAGTTTATCCAAATTACTCTAATATTTTGTAATAATGTCGGTATAATCTTAGGAATATCAGCAGGTGAAATAGTTTTATCCAGTTCATCACAAGGATCCTTTAAAATCTGCAAGAAGTCAATGTTTGACTTTGCTTCATGTATCTCTTCCTGAAATTCAAATATGGCATAAATATTCAGGTTTAAAAGTATTATCCATATAACAACACTCAATATGCTCATATCATTTACTTACTTTAATTTCTTCAGCAAGACTAAGAAACTGACATATGTAAGTTGATTGATTCATCAGCAAAATATCACATATGTGGTTTAATGATTTGTCTTGCAGTTGAACATCTAAACCAACTAAATTTTTATCTGGAAAATATCCAAATACATATACATTGTACAATATAGACCATTTATTTCACATTTAAATAAAGTTAACTCTCTCTCTCTCTACAACTCACATTGCACAAATATTACTCTTACCAAATCACAAGAAAACTAAGTTAAAAAATAATGTACTAATTTCTGCACAATTTAGTCTGTGGTCTTCTAGCATGTGTTGTGTGGTTTTCTGGTTGCATATCATTTCAAAGGAACATGCCAGTTACATCTTCAGTACAGCTGTTAACTAAAATCAAAATTTTCATGATTATATTTTAAAATTACATTCTGAATTAGTAATTATTAAGACTCTGCACTTCTATAACTTACATCTGTATGTCCACAACTCATATTCATCAAAAGGGCATAATCCTTCTGCATAAGTAAGCCATTCCTTATCACTCAGTGCAGCTCTTATTTGCCGAATCCAGTAAACAGTTACACCTGTAATCCCATTAATTAATTTACAGAAGGACACCAATAATTATTATGAAATTTTGAGAAATATGAGATTCTCATAGTGATGGGTATGAAGATGGCTGCCTTCTGGAATGTAGCATCATGTAGTCTGGTACACATTAATAGACATTTCAGAGGAGCTTACTACTTTCATCCCAGAAGACAACCATCTTTGTTATGAAGTTGTTGTTATTTATAATATTACCTACCTTAGCACATGTCAAAACCATTATCATTTTAGAATGATCAAACTTGAAGAAAACCAAGGGTGGGGCACAGAGCATGGAATCAAAACCATTATTATCATTTTAGAATGATCAAGGTCACAAACCAAGGGTGGGGCACAGAGCATGGATGAAATGATAAGCACATACAAGATTTTAGTCAGGAAACCTGAAGAGACCACTTGGTAACCAACTTATAGAAAAAGGATTGGAACTCTGTAAAAAGAGGGAAATTTCTAAACTAAATGAGTGTACTACCATATTCTTAAGAAGCAATCTGTTCCTTGGAGTGAATTAGTTCACATCTTACCTTTAAGGAAACATCCCAGTATCCACTGGAAGGGGCAAGTTTGGACTCCGTAGAGAGAAAAAAAATCCCTGCTAATGCCGGAAATAAATTCCCAGTAACTGAGCACAATAACACTCATTTTATTGACTTCAGCTATCATTATGAAACTACTATTTATAACACAGTGCAGCCATACCAAAATTTCAGCAGCTTTTTATCCAACTTCTGCACATGTGAAAATTGCATATGTATAAGGTCATAAACAGAAGTAATTAATATATGGTGGATTTTACCTTCCAATCTCCTCACCAAATTCTTGTCTTTACTAGCTTCTTCAACACTTAAACTCAAACTTTCTTGAGGAACATACATGACGGTTGAGCCTCGTAATCTGTAGTGTGTATCAATATAGAAGGAAAGAAAGTCATGCAAATTTATAGAAAACTCATGTTTTACATCTGAATGTTAGTTAAAGAAATATCATTCTTGTTTGAAAGACGCTACGATTATTACTCTTTATAAAGTTATAGTATTAAGTCACCTGTTGTTATGAGTACCACTGCAACTCAATTTTTCTGTAGCTTTTTCATCTTCCATTTACAGCCATTTCAATCTTTCAACTTTATTGAAATTGTATGAATTCAAAACTGACAAATGAAGACAGTCAGTAACCTTATTCAAATTTCTACAGATATCTACTCCTAATATAATAACCACTGTTCATCACGCTTGAATGTGCAAGTGCACCATTCACACAATGCAGAAGAAATTAATTAAAATATGTTCTGACAGTAGCATCTCTGGTAGCAAGACATGCAAATTAGACTATGGTGGGGTATGGAAGAGTCTGCATTTGGCATGAGTATGGAGTCAGGTGGTTTTGTGTTGGTGTGTTCGACAGGAATCTGACTTCAGTCACTGAAAATGTTTCACATTTAATTCACGCTATAAATACATTTTATACCATTAGTATTTTCAATATGATATGCAAAGATAATGCTCCAATAAACTGTATTACTGTTTAATACAAAAAAGTTCATTCCTGTCACCTCTGATGTGTCATATTATAATAGTATTAAAATAATACCTGAACACTGTAGTAAAATTAAATATCCCCTTCAGTCTCTGTTATTCTCTCTGAGGGACATACAAAACTTAATACTTGTAATAAATGGATAAAATGTTTATTTTTTATACTGCAGTCTAACCAGCTTTAAGCAAGTGTAGGTCTTATATGAATTTACTTCCAGTAATGCCACCTGTACAAAGTTTTCCATGTCTGCTTTCTCACACTGGTCTGTAATGCAGTTACATTTCTTATAAAAGATGCTGGTTTGGTAATGTGTACAAATGAACAAGTTTTTAAAGGCAGAGTATAAGAAGCCATCTTTAACATTTTTATCTTGCAGACTTGTAATACATCTGGATGGCATGCATCATCCCACATTTGTTGCAATGATGGTGTTATAATAGAAACAGTCTTTTCTTAAACCCAAATGGGCAACAGTCAAATACCATTAAACACTCTAAATTTGTCCTCATTATTGAAGTCATTACAAAAACTGATCACACATAAAGGATACCATTAGGCCATGATGTATTCATGAAGTATCTTGGGGAATAGACATATTGTAGAACATCAAGCATTGCCCCTTCAATGCTATCAGTTGCTGTCCCAAATGTAACAAATTCACAGAAATTCTCTGGTGTTATAACATCAGTAGGATCCTTCACGAAGTATATCAAATATTTAACAGGGACTGTTGGAGGCCCTAATGCTGCTGCTAATGTAACGTCATCAGGATAAATGCTTAGTACCCAAGCAGACTTGCTCAAGAAATAGTCTTTGATAACATTCTCTACATTCACATTCCAGACATCATTCTGAACATCAGTCAGAGTAGCATAATGTTTGACTTCCCTCACCTGAAAAAGAAGAGAAAAATAAAATAAAGAATGTCCTCACTCAGAAACTGTACATTAAATATAAGATTCTGTACTGTGAAACTAACTTACCAATAATTCTAACTGTTCATCTGTATAGAATGGCACAGCAGGTTCCTCTGCTTCAGCTTCTGCATCAACTGAAATATTCAATTCTGTCTTTTATGGAACCCTATCACCAGTCCCTATCCAAAGCCAAATTAATCTAGTCCACACCCTACAACACAAATTCCATGAGATACATTTTAATATTATCCTTCAATCTATGCCTATGTCTTCCAAGTGGTTTATTTCTTTGAGCTTTCCATCATAATTTTTGTATGCAACTCTAGTCTTCCCCACGTGCATTACATGTCCTGCCAATCCCAATCTCAGCCTTCATTTAACCATCATCATATTATTTTGTGATAAGTACATATTATGGAGTTTTCTCCACCCTCCTGCTAATTCTTCCCTCATAGGTCCAAATATTCCCCAAAGTACCATGTTCTCAAACAACCTCAATTTTGTTTTCCCTTAATACACTCATACAAAACAAAAGGTAAAATTATAGTCTTGTATATTGTAATTTTTACAGCAAACAGGATTATAAAATATTTAAATCACTTATTGCACTTTCATACAAACCATATAAATCCATAAAAGCTACAAACCCACTATAGAAACCTCTTCTTCAGAATGAGAAGAGGATCTTGGAGTGCTCAATGTAGATGTATTAGTTATTGTAGTTCTGGTACTCATTTTAAACAATTCACAAAATCATCAGGCCCATTTTCAAATAAACAATGATCCTGAATAGAGTATAAAGACAATATCTGTTCAAATACCTCTTAACATAAATCAATAAATAAATATGTTACCTTGGCAACTACAAACATGGCACTTCTATCATGGAACTCAGAGAGATGTACACAAAACTCAGGCCCTTATTTAAAGTGGCTTTTAAAAATAAAACAGACTAAACCAAAATAGCTTGACAACGTTTATTGTAAGTTTACCATGCAGACCTTCACAAGAATTAGATTGTTTTTTGGTTGCTTTTTGCTGGCATGATAAAATATAAGATACTTTTTTAAAATTCTTAAAAAACAACCCTTTTGTACAACCCTGAAATAGATTAAGGGATATCTTTAGAATACATTTGTTTTATTCTGGTCATTTCTATAAAAAATGTGTAATAAGACAGACTACATAGAACAAAATAATATTTTGTGATATAACTTCACTGCCTGGTGGTCAGACAAATTGTATGCATGTTTAAATTAATACACAAATGCAAAAAACTTACATTTCTATGTTTGATGTAGACATGAACATAGCTAATAGCTTAATGTTATAAAGAACAGATTGCCAACATTAAGTAATCTTTCCACCATCTGATACATTGGTTGTAACAATTTTGTTTTCTGGAAATAATTTTATATGCTTCCCATAGATGGCAGCAAAGGGAAAATCTTGTAGCTCAGAAACTGACAGAAAAATGTCACAAGCACTAATGTTTTATTTTATGAGGAGATTGCAGGAATGACGGCCACAACCCCGAAATATTGTCCTCGGTACTATTTCCAGGACTGGAAAGGAAAGGCAGCAATAATACCACTTCAAATTCAATGTATTTATTCCTTGAAATGTAAATACCACACACCTGCTAAGCTCTTTCTTTATAAAAATACAACTACAAGATGCCACAGGTATAAAGCAGATAATTATATAATAAAGCTAAGAAATGACATGGTCTGGGAACAGCATTTCTTTTAAATTCAGGTTAGGCATTAACTACAGCTTCCTCCTGAATGTACCAAATATGGTATTAAGAATGAAGCTGTTCCGAGGCCTTCGGCTGAATAGAGAACTAATTAGAGAATAAAGAAAGATTAATATGCATTATAATATTAAAACATTGACAGGTATTATATGATTGTGGTTAAAGTAACAGTCCATCAACTCTGAAAGGAGACAAACATGACAGATTGGCTTTTAATATTTGATTTCAACAAACAGAACAGTGCACTTCAACTATGTTTCTGCTTTTGAGTAAGATTATGAACAAGCATAAATGCTAGAATCGTTCATTTGATATTTTTAATATATACCACCTTTTCCATTGGCAAATTACTTTATTTTATATATTTGCATGACTTCTAGTACCTTATACCTTATTTAATAATCATGCAAGCCCACATTTTAAATTTAGGGCATCTTGAGAAAGAAGTGTACTTAAGCTATTCATAGCACCATTTCGAAATCAGGAAATTTTTCACTTTCCTGCATAACATAAACAACAGCGTCATAAACTTCAGTTAAAACATAAAAATACTTATATTCAACAGAGAAATAATATTATGTAAAGTGGACTTTCCAATCAGCCTGACTTTGATTACTGATTTCACTTTTAGTTTCTCATACAGCAACAAGCCTGACACATCCCATGCTGGAGAGCTTCCATGGGACGTTAGCTTGTAACTGACTATACGAGGTTAAACAACAGTTATTTCCAAAAACCAGGCATCACAAGTCCCTTAAAGAACAGAGTGTTCCACTCCTCTGGCCTTCAAGAGATTTTAAATCTGGTATGTTGGATTAAAAACCCATCTGCAACCATACACTCCATCTCTTTATATAAAGTTTAAAAAAATTTAAACCTGTTTCACAATTTCCCCTGATATACAGACAAGTTATTATTAAAAGAAGAAATTTCACCATCTCTCAATCTATACATTATACTTAAAAAATCTTTATGAGTCTTTTTTTTCAGTGTGTCATATGTACATACTTCCTACCTACATACTGCACATTAGCATTTTATACAATATCACTCATGGTCGCTCTTCACTCGTTTTGAATAAATGAGCATCCATACCATATTCATAAATTGGATATATATATTCATTTTCTTGGAAAACTTTATGGCTGCTAAAGATAAGATACATAATAAAAACAAGTTTATAAACTTATTGGAAATCTCATAACATAAATGCATACAAGAAATGGTATATTTCAATCGCAAGTTTCTCATTCATTCCCTTCGTCAACACAACCATTTCAAGTCAGTGATTAAGTACTTTTTCATAATTGATTCAATGTGCTTATTTATTCCATACAAACCATTCTTTATATAATTTTCTTAATAATGATACATGTCATACATTCTGTTGTAAAAGCAAGCAGAAGTTTTATCATAGAGACAATAAGCTTTGCTTCATTTTCAATTTATCCTGCTCATGTTAAATACTCCTAAAAAAATAGTTTAATGTTTTTCAACAAAGGCCAGAAATTTCCAAACTACAGACATGACAGTTCATTTGTTGAAAAACCTTGAGATCGATTACATCATCTACTACACTGCATTCTTGGTTCAAAGAAAAGGACACAGTATATGAGATGATGATGTAACACCTAGCAATAGAATAATTTTTTAAAGATTGATTTGCAGTCATTTTCGTAATGAAACAGAGGAAACATTTCTCTTGGTGTACTTTACAATATTTTGTCTGTTTTCATGCCTTTGCTGCTTGGAACTAATATAATCTCTCAAATTTTGTTGTGTATGTGACCGACCTCCACTGAGACCAAAGTTCTTGCTGGGATTTGTTAATGTGAGGAGACTGATTCCTGGCAGGAACTTTATTTAAAAATGCCTGAGATTTTTGACAAATATACATTCTACTCAACTGGTTACTGTAATCATAAATACTGAAACTGCTCATATTTATGTAGGAGGTGGTCCATTGGGATACCGTAACATAGGCTCGAGGCTGCGAGCAAAGTTGTTGCTCAGAATGCAAGAATAATCTTCTTCCCCTGTCGGAACAAGGGCTGCCACTCCCAGAAGTAGTAACATGAGTGCCTGAATGGGTAGTGATGCTCGAACCACTCGCCCTAGGAACCGATAACCTCGAGCCAGGACAGTTGTATCGACATCGTCTGGCTCGTTGCCCCTGCTGTCACTAAACAACACAAGGTTGCTGAATTAAAATGAAATTACAATTTAATTAAAAATTAGAATGTAAAAACTGCATAGTAGTTCTTAATCCTTTGGAGCCAGTGGTCATCTAAATAATATTCTTTCATTTGGTGGAAATATTTTAAACAGAAGAAAAATTAATGCAAATGAACAGCAAACTGTTGATCCACTTCCCTTTTCAATTTTCCTTGGGGGTTCAAACATGTTAAAAGCTTCAATAGTTGAATATACTACACTACACTAAATTGAAACTATTCTGTTGAAGCAGTTAAAAGTGTGAACAAAATTACTGAAGCTGAAATGCCATACCACGTAAAAATATGGATGCTGTGCTGTGAAGTACTTACAACTTCCCAATCAGCCCATGCTCTTTACAAAAAACTGGAATACCAAATAAACTGAAAATTAAAGTAGTAAAGAAATATTTACTTTGTGTGCTGTTTTTCAGAATGGACCGATCCTTCGAACTGGCCAGGAGCAGCTTGATCCAGAAGCTGAGGACAAAGGATGAGGAAGAGGGAATGAGAAATCAAATACTGGCTGTGCCATCAAAATACACAAACAAAACTACAAAAATTCAAATCTCTATAGACACTATGCAACCACTGTTTAATCTACAGAAATGTGCTCTGCATTTTGTGGATTAATAGAAATTCTACTCAATCTCTATACATTACACTGATAAATCACTTCAGCAGAATTACATGCAGAAAAGAATAAATATTTAACCAAACATTAATCTGTACCACACACTATAAAACAAACGGAGAAATCACAAGAAGATATTCAGGATTTAAACACTGTATCTTTGTGATAAAAACTATTTAATCACTGAACATGATATGAAACATTTCAAAACTACTATTTATAATAATGATGGGTCAAAGACATATGATCCGAAGCTTTCATGGCTATCAGCCATGTAAGGTGGTTTAATGGAGAAAACACCAACATTCTGAGAACCATCTTCATCCTTGTCTTCCATTAAACTACCTTACATGACTTATAGCCTGAGAAGAATTCATTTTGATGGGTTAAAGAATTTGTATCGGAATATTAAACAACAGAAACAAAATACCAGTTAAATAAATACAGAAAATGCAACAGATGCAGTAAATACATAATTACAAAAGCAAAAGGTCAAATACAAAACATGAATGTGGCATTTGATTCATAAAGCAGATTAAATATTTTACTGCAGAGCTTGCAATAATGTGAAGGACACATGCTTGCAGCAAGTCTTCGTGGAAAATGTACTATCGAGTATTCGAACTTCATGGCCTTTTGGATCTTGCATTTATGCAACAATAATTTTACTAGGAGGGTACAAGGACATCTGTTGATTTGCAAGAGATTTTGCCTATATTAAATATAAGGAAAAAAATAAAATTGCGAAAATATCTTCAAACTAGGCATTTTGTACCAACACAAATTATGGATGAAAGAGTTAAAAGATTAGACCGTCACCTGTGTCTCACATGGCTCTTTATTGTAAGCGCACTATTTTACCAAAAGTGTGATGTGTACATCAAATAAAATGAATAACAGTAAATATTACTATCAATATGTGTTATCAAAAGGAGAGAAAAAGTACTTAGTATAACAATTAATAATTAATTGTGGCTTAATAATGAAAATATACACAGAAAAGCTGTGAAGAAATTGAAAACACAACAGTTATTCAATTCTTAAAAAAATGACAGCCACATCAGGCACTTTTGTTTGATGAATTACTGTAACTTGGTACATGAAATTTATGTGGTAAAATATAATGAATCACCTTTTAACTTACAAGTTCGAAACTTCTGGATCCCTAAAATACACAAATTCACCAGTGGGTGCTTTTAACACTACCTGATTTATAATAAAGACTTTCAGTTTCAAGATAGTATATTCATATACGGAAGTTATTTTAATACTATACTGTGTACACATCTCATTAAAATGTACCAGATCTATACTCACCTCTTGTGAAAGACTCATAAGGGAAGTAGCAGCTGTGCTGCGTCCACTGGTAGCTGCTGTTGCTATTGACATCCCCAGTTCAGACGTATTCCGACCCAGAACTGCACCTAACTTCAGGATGTAGACACCAGTAAGGCGACGCAGAGACTGCAGCTTCAGTCGCAGGTCTGTCAGACGAGACCAAGTACTACTAGCACCTTCAGGACCTTCAGATTTTCTGAGAAGTTGATCAGCTGCCTCTTGGAGGGACATGACTCTTGGCTCACATCGTTCCAAATCACTTCTCAATTCCTGTTAGCATCATCATCATCATCATCAGTGTTAAAAATGAAATGGCTTTAAATTCTATAATACCCAACAGTATTCAAGTAATAAAAATTTCCTCCAATTTTATGATGTTATATTGTTTAAAGAAAAAACATGAAGTGAGATAAAGAGGGTTTCAAAATTGTCTGCAATGCACTGGAAAATAATTTTTAAAATGCTTTATGTTCTAATAAACACAGCAATCAGGAGCATACAACTACGAGTACTTACCCGGAATTTATTATACTTCGCTTCTATAACTTCTATTTCATCTGCAAGATCAACAGGTTCTGCTTGCCTAATCACATTTTCTGTCTTTTCAAGCCATGCCACTAATTCCTCAATTATCTGGTGGAATTCATGATTCTAAAGGAAGAATTAAAAAGAAACATATAAGAGAAGAATGAATAGGGGAAACAAACAACAACGTAACTGACCAACATTAACCAAAGATAGTTACTTTAAATTCCTGCCTTTCCCTATGTATACTTAATTTCCTCAAAGTATATACATCACTTTTAGGAGTGCATAAGAGCAAAACCTACACTGGATATATGCCCCTACATGATCTTTCAACCCTTTGCCTCAATTAAAAACAATAGTGTGTGATGTTACCAGCTCAGTTATTTTTGGAGTATTTAAATTTTAAATAAAGATTTCACTGCATTTGACAACATTAGAAGGGACAAACACCTTATAATTTTACTATATTCAACTGTGTTAATAGGAGCAAAATGTTAAAATCCACAGCAAAAGGAACTTGCATCTGTTAAAAAAACATTTTTTTGTGTGCATGACATCAAATTCAACTGCATTCGTCTACTCATAAAATTCATCACTGGAAAAATGTAAATGCCACTTCCATCTTAAACATCCTAAATAACTGACAATGTGGGGTAGAAATGTATCTTGATATGGAAGTGCACATGCAAGAAGCACAATGACACAGTAAAACACCGAATTATCTTTGTTCATCAACATTTCTTTCAAACCTTGGGTACAGTAATCACTCATCTCACTTAAACTATCCAATTAATTGCAATGCAGGAACTGTGCTCACATAACTTTTCCAAAATAGACAATAGCCTTCTTACCTCCATAAGCGCAGTTTGTAGTTGGGTTTGCCAGGCAGCTGCTGCACGACACACTGCATCCCACCGACTGTTTGTTGTCACAAGTCTTGTTCGGAGTTGTCCTGCTCGTTCCACATCTTCAGTGTGATCGGCTAGATGTGTTCCAACGATATTCAGCGCGACAACAATATTCCTGTGACTCTCCAAGTCCATGAAAAACTCCTGTTCATAACAACATAAAACCCTATTATTATGGGGATAGATACAATAGGAAAAAAGTACTTACCAAAGTTCTTTCCTTTTCATGATTAAGAAATACCAAAACAACCTAACAAATTCTCTGTGCAACTGAAATAAATTACTTCTATTTTTGCCTACCACTACTGAACCCTCTCCAAAGCAAAAACTCTTTCCTATCTCATTCTATCACAGTGTGTCCTGTGACAGAACAAGTGAAACAGCATCCTCAAAAAAAGTAACTATTTCATTACATATGAAATATAAAAAAAATATTTAAAATATATATTGTACATCTTAATAAGACATACATTTTATCATGTACTAATATGTGTCTTGAGAAATGTTATAAATAATGTTTGACTTGGGGTCGAAGTACCTACTTCAAAAAAGTTCTGAAGCAAAAGGATCACCACCTACCCTATGATCCTGAATAGTGTCCTCCAGCTGTTCTATGTTTGTGGGTGGGGCAGTCTGGCCACTCTGGGTTCCCTCAGCAAACTGGAGCCACTGCTCCAGTCGCCACAAATCATTGTCCAGCTGTTGCCAATTTTTATGTGAGCACAGAGGACATGTTAGTCTTGCACTCTCACTGTAAAGCACAAGAAACAAAGTTACAAACACTGAAAATTTAGTTCAGTAACCTTTGTGTTAAGATTACTAATTGCATTAATCTACAGTTCTACAAAGCCATATTTGTTGTAACCTTCCCAATACAAAACTGAACCAAAACAGTGCTAATGTTTGAAACAAACCTGTATACATAAAGTATGTATTATTCTTTATAGTAACATACCTAACAATTAAGTAAGCGTTATATTTCCTCAGGTACACTTCAATCTCCCACTTCAAACCCTTTCCAAGTGGACACCTCATCACTTGAAACAACAAATCGTGTCTGTCCTATTTTATGGTCTGTGTGCCAGAAATATCTGTATTGGCTTGCTTGCCAAATGAATAACATTTGAAAACTTTATTAACAAAGTGATAAAAATATCCCCATACCATTCCTTCTTGCCAAAGCCTGTGTGAAATATAATAAGAAAACACTCCTTTTACAAGTCTGTATTATCTCAAATCATGCAAATTTTAAAGCATGGGAAATACAGTGGCAACAAGTCCGTAATAAAATGTTTGTATACAAAATTAAATCCCTTTCTCGCATACCTAAGAAAAAAAACATTCTTATTTTCACATGATTACATTCAAAGTACCAAATACTTGGACTTTTATGTTGTCAAAGCATATTTTTGGTCTCAAAACGTGCCAAATTATATGTTTTATTAAAAAGAAACCTCTTGTGTAAATATCTTAGTCTACCTACCTACTTTAATTTGCAGTCCTTCGCTACATATTGTTGTTATTTTGTACACCCAAATTACAAAAATGTCTACGATGATTATTGTATTTGCACAAGAAAATACACAATTAGAAGTTACAATTATTGAAGTCCAATCAATTAGATAAATGTTTAACCCTTCCCTCTCAAACTTTTGCTGTAACTTCTCTGAAAGCTTAAATTTAAAATGATATAAATTTGATATTCCTACAATAAGAATCTATAATATCAGAACTTCCCTAACAGACGAGTAAAGTTGCCATAATACATGCCATGGAGGTGCATGAAGGAGAGAAAGTATAGCTCCTACTCATTCTTGACCTCAGGACTAGACTGGGGTGAGCGGAAAACAACATGCCCGGCCAACAGATTAAGTGGAGAGGGCTAAACTCTTAACTTCAGATTTTACTTGCAATAAGTTAAAACATAAATTAGTAAAAAAATATGGTCACTTAACTGTTCACAGATAAAATAGTAAGCTTCAGCAATGGAAGACCTGTGGACAAAAGGCATGTTTACTTGAAAAAACCAAGCAGAAGAAAGAAATCAGTGGCATTAGAGATCCAACACCAAGACACAAACTAGCAACTTACATTAGCTTATACTTTAAGAGTAACTACAAAATGTGTATTAATTGGCAACATATTGAAGCAAGACTAGGTGACAACAGATTAATTAAACAGGAATATAATTCCTCAAATATATTTTAGTGATAACTCAGTTTAAAGTTTGAAATTTATTAATGTGACAAGATAATAATGAACTAGCATAATTAATGTCTCCTTTTATACAGGAAGTTGCCCTGTAATGACAGTGAAAGGTCATTTGAAATGAAGGGAAATATACGAAAATTACTAGCAGAATTTAGATATTAGAAATTATTTTGTAGTTACTTGATATTTATAGATTGTTAATCGCACTCAGAAAAGGAAGAAAATCCATGTAAATTACAGGAGGAAAAATTATTAGATTTAAAGAGATACTTGTAGTTGTAACAGGAATAAATTTTAGTAATCATATTCAATTTTAGCAATTACACAGGCAAATACAGAGGCTTTGCAAAGAACAAGCAACATATACATAAAACAGTGACTCAAAATCACAAACCTTGCTTCTCGCATACGTTGTTCCCTGGCTCGTGCTTGTGATAAGAGCTGCTCATACCGTGCTGAAAGATCACGTACTTCTCTTGCTCGGGCATATTCTTCAGATACGTGACTTTCTTCAATCAACAACATACTCAAATGATTGATAAGTTCTACTGATGACTGACATGTGGCCATCAACTTGGACTGCAAAAGAAACATCAGTATTAATCCTTAAAATTGTTAAAAATCCAAGTTATTTAGTTGTAATGTTCTGAAACATTACAACTAAATAACATGAGTTAGCATAATCTGTAGAGCATCACTTCATCTGGTATATCCAGTCCAACTAGAATCATGACAATAAAAATTTTAAATGGGTTGCATTATGCAGAATTTTCATTTTCAGACAAAATTATCCCAGTTCAGTGGGGCATGAGTTGTACAACTACTTTCAGTTCAGATACTTAACCAAAATCAGCATGAATTGCTACCCTGGGCAATCTTCTCTATTTACTGCATTAGCAATTTACATACCATACTTTTAAACACAAGATTTAGATTTGGAGGACAAGGAATTTTGGAGAACTGGTGTACTATACTGCGATGTAGCAAAATGTCTGATGCTATACATAAAAGATTTTGTGACTGAACAAAGACTTGCATACATTATTACATTTTATGATGTCTCCATTAATACAAATACAAGACACAAAACTGCAATCATGAATATGTCAAGTGTGGTTTTCTAGGTTATGACGTAGGCATTTTTGGGAACATATTTTCTCCATCTTCAATAACTTCTACCCTGAAGAGAAGAAATCATCTCCATCTTTGGAATAGAAGATTGCATCACAACCTACAAAAATACAACTGACCTTTCAAACTACAGTAAGAACACAAATCCCATTATAAACACTTTCTACTAACAATCTAATTTTCTGAATGATCAACTGCTTATAAATTTAGAGTATGACTATTACAACTGTGCAATCACGACATTCCAAAAATAAACCAACTAGTAGGACATATGTTGGAGAAGTCCCAAAACTTCAACACCACAAAAAACCCACAAATATGACAGGAAATGAGATAATTATTATATAATACAATGGAATAATACTATGCCAAGACCAAGAATATCCGCATCCTCGCACCATTCCTAGCAAATCTAAACGTCACTGGAAATGAAGGTACTAGATCCTGCACGGTATTTACTCCACAACAGTAACAGTACTGGTATTTCAGAAGTGGGTAGTTCCACAATTCAGCCATTCTACTTCCACCGAGGCTCAGTAAATATATGATAGAATACGTGAGATAGGAAGGACAAAGTTCATCTGGATATGGTTAAACAAAAAAAGTCTGGTGCTTAATTAAGCCAGTATACTATGCAGACATATGGGAGAGTAGAATGATTATTTCACACACACTTAACCTCAGCATTAGCTGGAGGTGAGTGGTCAGCTTTGGGCTTCTTTATTGCTGAGGAAAGAACTCTAGTATCTGAAGGACTAGAAATCGTGTGCTAGAGCTAGAGCAAAGAAAAAATCCTGCCATTGTGAATTGAACCCCAGTCATCCAGCCCATAGCCTAGTCAGTATAGTTATTGAAATACCCCAGCTTCTACATTTTGGAGAAATGGTTCAAATCTCGATAGACTAATTATTTTCTGAATTAGCAAAATGAGCATATTCTTACCATATGGGGTGAAGAACTGTGACCTGTACTGACTTCCTGAGGGGCAGGAGAAGAAAGAGCATCTTCTAAAGAGTCCAGGTTTGCAGCACATTCCTGGATGGCAGTCTCGAGCTCGTACAAGTACGCGTCCCGAGACGTAAGCTTCGTCAGGGGAGGAAGTGTGTCCACTTGCACTGCTGAGTCCTGCTCAAACTTCAGTGTCTCAACCTGGACACACTCATCCACTTCATCCAATTCCTGTTTACAAGGCCACAGAAGAGTTTCATAGATATTACAAGAGCTCTCACATATACATTTTAAATATTTACTGCTCAAGCACTCCATCTGTATAATAAACATTATAAAATAATAATCTGTAAGAATTCTAATTTTTCTACAATTAGTGACACAGAACCAAACACTAAGCACAGAATTTATTAACCTGCTGTGGTCAAACATCAAAAGCAAAGCTTTTCTTTGCACTAAATTATCTTTCCTTGCAAATGAACCCCATTCGAATCCCATCAACTGTGTCACATCCACAACCATCCCTAGCAGTTCTACTAACCTAACCTAACATACATTAAATGTAAAGTTTTAAAGCTATAAATATAAATTGATAAAATGTACACAATTTAAATGTCTACCCTACCTGAAACATATTCTGAATTAACACAAACAGAATAAAAGTCATGAGCAAACATTCAGTTTTCCTATAATCTCCATTAAATTACATAATAAGAAAATAAAATGCAATAAACGTACTATTAAAAGCTGAAAATACTACATGTACATTTCATAATGTCTGTAAACCTAAAATAAAAAGCCTAATAATTTTTATCAGATTCATTTACCATAGATGAAATCAGTTTTACCTTAAATGAATGAGGTATACTGAATACTAAAGATTTTAGCTAAAAGAACAAACCTTTTTCTGAACCTCATCTTGATACCGGGCCTTTAACATCACAATCCGAGCCGTAATGTCTTTCCATAATAGTTGATACTCATCAATCATTTCTTGGATAGCTGGCACTTCATCAGGTCTGCTTCGTTCCATTACCACAAGGCCCAGTTCATCAGCATTCCGCAGCAGACCACTGTTTGCTTCAAGCTCCAACTCCAGTTGCTGTGGCAATAACATCATTTAAAAATTCACAATTACAAGAGGTGACAATATTTATTAACAAGAAATCAGTAACAAGTACAGAATTAAGGAAGTAAAAATGCTGATCCATATGGTAGATCTCTCTCATCTACACAAATTTTACTTTAACATATTTGTCTCTTTGTACTTCAACTCATAAACATTTGGTGTGATTCTACCCTACTTAACTACATTTTCTCTTCAAATCTTATGATAAGTTAGAAGTGGTGACTTTCCAGTCATTTCCCAATCACTTCCATGAACTTCTGTTTTTGTACTCTTTTCCAGATGTGGAGGATGGAAAGAATGTTCTAAAACTCTCAATCATCTACAACATTCAAAAGTTATCACCCTTATGTGCAAAAACCAATTATACATCCTGACAGCGACAGACAATGAAAAGTTAAAATTAGTCATTAAAATAAGTTAAATTTACGTTTTTGTCTCTTTTAGTATTAGAAAAAATGTACAAAGATATCTGAAGCATACCTCTATTTCCTGTAAACGTTCCCTAGGCATTGCAACTTGTTCTGGAGTAGCCAAATGCTGGATTTGCGTCAGCCGAACATCTACTTGTGTAAGACTCACGATGGCTTTCCCATGAGCTGTCACAAAGTCACGATACACCTGTAATTCCTCATGAAGTTTCTGAATGATGGCAACAGCAGTCGGAGTCAGCTGGTGCCAACGAAGCAACATCGAACGGATGGCAGATGTTAGCTGTTGCAGGTTCTCCAATTCCAGTCCGCTATCCTTTACAAGTTTTGTGTATGTCTGATCCACTATTTGGAGCGCTGGACCACGAGACTCGATGTCTTTCAATGAGGCCTACGAAGACAAAGTAAGTTTACTATTCCTTATGAAGTTCATTCACTGCAGGCATACTTATCATAGAATATACAAAGGATACACAAATGGTAAGATGAAATGGAGGATGAACAAATAAAGTAATGTAATTTAATTTGGCATCCTGGAATTTGCCTCAAGGTACTGAGGGAGCGAGGAAACGAGCACGTAAGCAAAATCAATGTAGCAATGCATCATGGATTTGTGCCGCATGTTAAATGGACATTTTAAAGAGAACAAAACCATATATTCTCACCTCAACTTTTGATATCAGATCTTGGATCTCTTCTTGTGACTTTTGTTCTCTTCTGCTGTCAATGTCCTTGAGAACTTGTTCCTGATAATCTAACCACACTTGATGTTCTTGGCACTGTTTGAGAAGGTCTTGAAGAAGTGTCCAAATGGCAAGAATTCGACGCCTCTTTTCTGCTGCCAGTCCACACACGTTCTTCCACCTATAATACAGCAAAAAAGATAAAATTCTACTGTTCGGCTTGATTTTGCCACAAGTGAATAAAGGAATCAGTTTGAAGTTTAAAACACAGATGTACGATTTAAAGATTATACATTGTAACTAGCTTGATATTCACATTCCAAAATCACTCATAAAAGAATTTTAATGTGGCTCTTGTACTTTACTTATAAATCAAATCTCTCAGATCCTTTCCAGTTAAATGAACATAAACCAAATTTTAATTATGTTGTTCTGGAGAATGAAATCACGTTTCATCCTCAATGACTATGTCATATCATAAATATAAACACTAACTCATACAGTATACAGACCTCTTCTCTAGTGCTTCTGTCGCCACTGTGATTGACTCAGTGTTAACAGACGTTTTACAGGATTCAGTGTCACTCAACAATAATTCACAAAGGTTCAGTACATCTGCAATATGACCACTCTGTTTTTCAATTGTCTTCTGCAGTTCCTGAAACAAGTAATAGGACATCAAATATAGTTCACATGACTTTATGTAACTTTTATTAAAATTTAGAAGAGTTAAAACAGGAAAACAAATGTCTGAAAAGTACTTACCTCATGTTCTTGTATTCTTGACTCAACAACTTCTTTAGAACAGGCTTCAAACACAAGTGGTTTAATAAGTTGAGCTTCCACCTGACACAGCCATGCCCGCAACTCTGCTATCCGAGTTTCAAGCTGTGACATCGTCTGCAAAGTACATGAAAATTGTAACAAATTATCTTAGAAGAAACTGTTCCTAGAATACCCAACATGTTAATACAAGTACCATTCCCTACCAAATACAGAGCAAATCTCATACAACAAAATAAAATTCAAGGGAAGAAAGAGAATTACCATTCATTTTTAAACAAATTGTGAATTTTAATCAAATGTGTCATGAAGATCATGCAAATGCAGGTTCACATACATCTTAAGTCCTACAACTCACATACCTGAACAAAAATTAAACTTAGATAAATAAAAACCACTTTACTGGTATAAAAAGAGAAATATGCAATGTTATTAGGACATAAAAGTAGCAATGTTTGATGCATTTAAGCAAAATAGATTCAAAATATTTGATTATGGCCAAATGTATGCAAGGCCCTTCATTAAATTACTGTCCTCAGATCAAGTAAAACACATCTGATGAACAAATTCATGTGGCGGCTTCATGGACCAATGACTTCTTTCCAGGTGATGTAAGTTGATAACCTGTACATACAGTTTACTGATAAGAAACAATGTTCCCATGTGAAGGCAAAATTCCTGCTCACAAACGTAGTTATGTACTTCTAACCTATGCAAAATATAAATATAAATGGTAAGTATTTAAAGTTCCTTTCTGATGAACAGTTTAAGTTTTACTTCCAAAGTTTAGCATCAAATTTAAAGATATAGAACTAAAGTTATTTTTTAGAGTAGAATATTGTTTGTAGATATCAGCGTGAGCTGTCTTTTACTTTCACTTTTGTCATACTTGTTTTGTATTTAATCAGGGAATGGTCTAAGACTTGAAAGTTTGATGAACAAGTTTACCTGAAGGATATCATGAAGTTTGTTTGCTCTAGACTTCCTCAGGTTCTGCAATTGATCCCAAACATCACAAACTTGCTGAACTTTGCTTTCGATTTCCTTCCTCTCCTCAATCTCTGTTTCTCCTGTACACGCTTGTGCCAGCTCTGATCCTGTGTGAAGGAGCCAGTCAACTTCTCGGTTCTTCAGTGAAATTTCAGATTGAAGTTCAGTTTCCAGCCGACGCAGCACCTCCTCAGCATCTCCCGCTGCACTTCCTTGATCCACCCTTAACTCTACATCAGAGACCCAAACAAGGAACCTGGACTGCCTATAAGAAAAGTTCATTCCTCTATTAAATGTCTCCAGATTTGTTTATATGATAAAAAAACATATTTACATACAGACGTGTTAAGTCCCATATCAGTATCCGTTCTTAAAAACCATGCAAATCCCATAGGAGACAATAACTATTTTGGTTTTTCACTTAAAATTCCATAGATTTTCTCTCAAATACTGCAATATTTTCAAATATTTTGATCATTTTCTCAAATTTCGTTATTTTTGAATGCCTGAACTTATCTGATCACCTTCTACAACCACTTACACTTCGCCAGATGAATACCTGACTTGTGAAAGATGACATCACAGGCAAAGAATGGTCATCACAGACCATCTAAAGGGCATTACATACTTACTGAGTGAACGATGAATTCAAACAAACCTTAACCTTACCTGTTATCGAACATTGTCCTCATTGCCAGCTTCTCTTCAAGTTGGTGACAAAGAACAGCAAGATGGTGATCCAGATCTCCTTGACCCTGCCACAGTATCCATACTTTCTGATTCATTGTTTTCATGTCCACTGGATTCACACATTCTTTTAGTTGTTCCTGTGTTACTCCTAATTCCTCCAGATCCCTAGTCAGTTCAACTAAACGAGACCGCAAAAGCTGAAATTCATACAAACCATAAAGATCATAAAAATTATGAAAACTTGTCAGTATATGATATAATAAATCTTTGCATCCATCATCTACACCTTTTAGATCCTTGTTATTTTAATTAAATTACTTTCGCAAGAATCAGCAATGAGATTTTCTTTAATAAGCTGTAAGAAAAATAACTACTATGACACAGGAGTACTGAAACTGGCTATTCAGATCAATTTAAATTAAATATCCGTCCCAGTTTTCAGTAACCAAACACACCAAGGAATGTCTCTCACATCTGTGCAAACGACTTACCAGTATTACTGACTGGTAAATAGTAAAGAAAGTTCTAATATAAATTTCCCAACACCGCAGCAGTGCCATAGTATGTCGAGCCAAGAACCTACATGACACGGAAAGCAGTCTTTAAGACTCACCCTAAGATTTTCCAGTCTATTTTGCATGCCAGTACGAGACAGTGGAAGAACATCAGATTCTGTAACAGCTGCATGTATTTCTTTGAATACATTTTCAATGTGATTCACTTGATCTTCAAATGTAGAAGTGAGCGAAGCTACTCTTTCCAAGAAACCCTTCCATGTTTCCAGCCCTGCCTGCAAGTTGCTGATTCTCTGTGTGATGGCAGCATGCTCCATACGGATTGAAGTTGCGAGGGCGTCGTCACAAAAATTAAGCAATTTGCTTTGCTGCTCTTGAAGACTTTCGGCTTGAGATTCACCATTAGGAACCTTATCCAATAGAAACTGTTGGAACGAGAAAAAGACCGTAAAATCCAAATTCATCCCACATTTATTATTTGTTTTTAATGAGGATACCATAACATGAAATATATATATATGTGTAACTAAGAACCTACAAGATCCTTCTAGATCACAGTAATTTACCAAACTGATCAACATATGTTATCTATGTGAAACGTCCAGTTCTAACAGTGCCGAGAATGAAGACGACTGTCTTCTGTCTTCAAGTATGTTGTGCTGTGTAATCTAGTATAAGTTTACCAACATTTCAGAGGTACTTACTGCCTTCATCGTCAGGGTAATGATGATGGAGGCAGTAGCCACCTGTAAAATAATCAGTGAACTACCAGATCACAGAGTGCAACATCCCAGAAGAGAGTCATCTATGTACTCGATCTATATTCTCCTGTAAATGTACAGGGTCTTGTATGTGAACTGACCTCTATCCTTCGAAGCACTTTCGGAACTCGTCTGGCGTGAATGTAGCGTAACTGGAGTCTGCCTCGCTCCCGTTCAGTATCGCGTAACCAGCATAGCAAACGTGCTTGATCCTGGCGGTAACGGTCCCAGGAAGTCAGGCGCTCTCTGACCTCTCCGTGGCGCTCCATGATCCGTGCCAATGTCTCATTGTGCAGATTTGTCAAGGAGTTAAACTGTTCGGCCACAGACAACTCGACCAATCCTCTACCCAAATTACCATCTGGGTCATCACTTTTAGACAGAAGTACAGACTGCTGACTTGTTAGGAGATTTTGGTGCACCTGTAAAGAGAGCCATCTTATCAGTACGAAGGCACAGAGACCTAAGACCATTTACATTAACATTTTATCATATATATGAAACATAAGAAGTTAATGCTGTAGTGACATGTAAGAACTGTTTTGGTATCTATTCAATGTTTGTTTTCCTTTTTATCTTGCTTCCTATTTAAGGTTTGTGAAAGTGGCATCAAAGTGAATTTGAATAGTTTATTGTTTCCATAGTACAGGCAAAAATGAATCACCCCAGCAGTATTAGGTTTACAGACCTCAATCAAATTGTCTGAAGCCACGTGCCTTACTTCTGGAATTAATGGTTTGCTGGCGTGATTTATACAAGAGCGGCAGAAACAAACATAACCTATTTGTGCACACGAAACACAATTGTGCACTTCCACGTCTACTATTTCTTCATACCTCACACAGATGCTGATGTTCTGTTAAACTGTGGTAGTCCTCTGGAATAGATCCAGAGAGGAATGACTGGACATGGAGGAGGTACTCCTGCCACAACCTGAGGGCCGCAGCTCCGTCCTGACTCTTGACGAGACGAGCAGACAGGCGGTGATACTGCTGGAATGTCTCTCTGAAAACTTGTTGCCATAACTGAAACAATCATTGTACTAAAATTAAGTACATGATATAAAATATCTACGCCTGACACAGTGAAGTCTCTAACAGTTGTTTCAAGAGCATGTACGATATATTTTCATATTGGTTCCAGGTATTAAATTTTATCAATTCTGAACACAAGTTTCAAGGGTAGAAAGATTAGTTAGATGCACAACATGTTCTGCGATACCTTAATTCCACCTTCAAATCAAATCATTCACAAGCACGTGACATCTACGTACACACACGTAAAATTTTTCAACACAAAACACGAATATTGGAAAATGCATTTAAAAAAACAAACAATTTCTGGACAGAAAATGTAGTGAGATTAGCATACCTGCAGAATTTCAACAACTGATGTTTCTGGTTTTGCAGGGGCAAGTTCTATACTCTTTTCTTTCAAGACCTGAAGTTGTCCTTCGGTCTTACCCAAAGTTAGAAGATGACTCCTCAGAGCTCCAAGCTGGTTTTCTATATCCTTTTCATTTGATTCTTCCACTGACGTCAAACTCTGTAGTAGACAAGAAAGACATAATTTTTCCAGCAAAATTACAAAAACTCACGGCAGCACGCACGGCCCACAACTGTTCAATTCGTGACACCGAATTGGAGTTTTCACGGACTAACCCGGCAATTGCGTTGGCATAGCCTGTTCATTTGTTTCTTTAAACATCGGCCACAGACAAGTTCAAGGAGATGTAAAGAAAGGTTCAAGATCAACTGAAGCGAAGGTAAAGGACGCCAAACGATACACAAAGTACGGAAATATATGAACAATCAATACAACTCATAACCGTTAATTTAGAAGGAAAAAAAATACAAACAAAAGACATTCTAACGAATGAAGTTAAACCTTTTCCTCGGGAATTTTGGTCTCTGCAAGATCAAATTTACAGCATCTGAAAGTACCTTCGGCAAACATAATTTTAAGAGACTCAAAACAAATCTTTTAACTCCATTTGCCGATTTTGGAGGCCACACGACCTACACGCCGAAATAAGCAGGTTCGAATTTGATCAGAATGGATACTTACATTTCGAACATCCACTTTAATAACAGCGCAGACTTCAAGGAAACGAACTGACCGGATATGTAAATTGAAAGCGTGTTTTACATTGAAAATTTCGACCTGTTTACTTCTGTTCTAGTAATTAGAGGTAGGACATGATTACTCTTGAATATGAACAAATCATGACATATATTTGTTACATTTGCAGACCACATTTACGGATATGTAGGTCAATCCTTATCCGCGTCTACTTCCGCCATTCTACACCACACTTACAGAACAGTCAATTCTAATACAGCTGCAACATGTGTGTGTACAGCACAACTAGATTCGCTATTATCCGAGTATAAACACCACTGGTTATACATAAATGAACGCCGTGAAAACCTCAAAATCCTACTTTTCTTATTTTCCAAAGCGTAGACCTAAAAACTTAAAAAAAAAAACACCGTTTGAGGAGGTACAGATATAAAACACAAAATTTGGAGTGTTCTGAAAATTGCCTGTTGTCATGGCTTTACGTTTCCATAAAAATGTATAACTTCGGATTTTGGCTGAGAGCCCCATCGAACGTTTGGTGTTCACCGACGTGTCGCCAAATATTGCAGTTGCCATTTTGAATGTTGGTATGAAACTGCAATACTAGCCTCAAAGCAGAATTTATTATACGCCGAACTCCAGCCATAAAACCTACTGATAAGAATTATGGAAGGAAATGTTGCTATTCAGACAATTGATATTGTCAAACAATCGTTGACTCACGCAGACATCGATAACGTCGCTTGTTTCAAGGTCCAACTAAACCTTACGCCAGCCACCGTATTTAAAAGCACACAAGAGTGCCTCCCTAAAACCCAGAGAGCTGACGTTCTACTTTTTCACAATTCTTAAACCTTAGCAACGTCCGAAGAGAATATTATTTATTTTTAAACCATTTTTAGAACAATTTCAGCCCCCCTCCAATAATTCTCCCGCTACATAAACTACTTTTACCACGTAATACGAAATCCTCATTTGAACATTCACAGGCAAACTGATAAATGACGTCACTTCTGCAACACGCTAACAGGTTTTTCCCCCAAGACCTTCAGTTTTCCCATCAATATCAATCCACCACTGCTTGATATTCGCTCATATACATCTGGGGGATACGGACAATAGGTCCATTAATGACCCAGATCCACAAATCTCACTCCATTACTTGTTACAAGTTTGAGAGACCACAAATTCGTTCCTGTCTGAGCTATAAATAATTCTGGTGCCCCTCATGGAAAAACACAGTCTTACACTCTACATGCAGACACACAACAACATGACATTTACGTGAATAAGCACGTACCTGCTGTACAGAGGACAGGTACGATTTAGTCTGCAGGAGATCATCGGTGCAGAGATCCTTACTCGCTGCCTTAGTCTCCGCAACGTCGGCCAGTGTGGCAAGCGTCTCACGGACATCCTCCAGGCGTTTGCCCAGGGCGTCCACTTCGGCTTCCAACAGTCCACCGGCTTCCAGACCGACGTCTTTTGCTATCTGCGCCACTAGGCCTTTCAACTCCCCCAGACGAGACTTATGGGCTGCCAATGTCTCTTCACAAACCTACAATCATAAGAAAGTCTTCGGATTAAGTAAAGAGAGGGAACGATTTCACGCATTAGTGGATTTAAACGGTTATGAGTTCGATTCCAGCACGGGTATTTTGCGTACGTCGTCATCCTAAATCGTCGTGCTCCTAATCATCCCCAATCTGAGGACCCCCCAACCATAAGATTAAATAAACAATTTCGGTGAATACATCCTGGTAGACAATTACCGAGATTGAGAGTTGGCCGGAATAATTTAAATGTCCTTAGAAGAAAAGAAAAAGATCACCCTTGCGAGACATTTAACAATCGATTTCTGACCGGCGCGGCCTCACGAGTGAAAAGCAACGAATCTGCGAGTAGTCGCACCGGGAAAACTTCCTGATGGTAACGTCATCAGAGCTGCCAGTTTAACAAATGCACTGGATCGGGAGTAATACAATAATTAATGCGACCTTTCACGTCCTACCTGTATCATTTCGTCCAAATCACGAAGAGCCATTCTCTTGACCAAAAAAGACGATCACTTTATGTAATACGCTGTCTGTCAACCGCCCAACACTACACCACCTAAGATACTCTATCGCTCTCAGGCCTCGTCTGCGGCACGCGATGGTAGGACGATTAGTCGACCTCTGGCTGCAAGCCATCATTTCCTGCACTTCCGCTGCTCTTGGAAACTATAAGAATTTCACTTATTTTTCCCGAATTTCTATTCACACGACAGGTAATCTATCTCTTTTTTTAAATTTTAGCCCGGAGAGATATAAAGTTTCTCAATTTAGGAAGTTGAAGAATTCGGTACGAAGTTGTAACTTGTTTCATGAAAAGATCATTGTAAAAAGGAAATTAGTTTTCGCATTTTATGGGGGAATCGCACAACGTTAGTGATATCTTAGAATGATACTGAAAAATTTGTTCTTTTTCAGGAAGCTGTCATAATAAGTTGTAAAGAAATGAAACCAACACGAGACATATGGAGCTGCTGTACCGAAATTTGTCGATGTACTAAGCATACGTGACCTTAGATAATGAGTTCAGCCTAAAAGTTTATGATCCCGAAGCAATTTATGCTCGAATTCTAAAACGTGCCCTTAGCAATTTATGCTCGAATTCTAAAACGTTTCAGTTACACTACATACAACATATCCCGCGTTGTTTGTTCAACAAATGTACAACATTTATGCGGCTTCAATACGCTAACGTATTCAATTTGTTTTCCACGTATAAATCAGTTTCAGCATAATTCGATTCTAGTGCCATGCACTGTTATGAATACAATTAAATCACCAATGCACGATATGTGACATGGCAATGTCAATATGGGAGGCTGTAACAAGCGAATTTCAGAGCTGAAAAACATATTAACAAGCAGTGATTAAACTTAAATGGTGCGTTATCGACAGAATCGTATAAATGAAAAACGTAATTCCACGGTGCAGACATTGCTTAAATTGCTCTGTATCGATCCCCCTAGTATACTAGAGTTAAGTTCTGTAGATATTTATCGTTAATTACCTCAATCTGCACACTGCACATTATGAACTCGCCGAGACCTCTAATCGCACGACTGAGTGCAGACAAACTTCAAATTAACGCGACCGGAACACACACACGCGTTATCTCACACAATAAAACGACTTTCGTGCTACACTCAGGGCGCCTTGACTGCAGACGTTTCACACATACTGCACACAACCACGAACTGTTCCTACAAAACGTCTGGCAAGAACAGAACTTCAATTAAGATGGCAGCAAGATTCCGTCAGTGCGCAGTCCTGCAGGATCGATCTGGAATCTGGAACGCTGGCTCCAGCTTGGGCGGGGGGACACTGTTTGCGGGAGGGGCTCGTTTCCTATCACATTATGGACCACACAGTGCAGCATCTTGAATATTCTACTTCGCGTCAGTCATATCCAAACCACTGAATTAACTATCGTAAAGCTGTGTTATTCACAGAAATAAATTAACGACGTAGTAGACACGAAAGTATTTCTGGAACATAGACGGCATAGCTGGTTTTTCCTACACATTCTCTAGTAACGAAATGTGTTCTTCATATCACAAGTGAGGTGAAGTTCGGCTAGTTTGGGTACGAGACACTGTGATTTTTCATGTCGCCAATGGCATAACGTCCATACAAAATGGCATTAATTTAGACATGAACCTAACATTTAAACATGTTAATTAGGTACATCGTGAACAGCGTACACATGACAACCACAAACTTATACGTATCTCACTATGGCACCACATCCTTATGCAATTAGGTTGAGGGACACACAATATTCTGGTCTGTGTCTATATTTAATAATAGATCCTGCATATTTTCATATTTAAACAACTTTCGTGCGAGTATGAAGCTGGCAAGTGAATTGCCTGAACTGATTTGTGCAGAGGGAGTCGACCTTCTGATATCTCGTGTAAATGATTAGTTAAACATCTCAAATATTGAATTTCAAATGTTGGTACAGATTGGGCGACCAGGTTTCAATCCCGGCAGAAGCAAAGAGCTTTTCTTCTAGCCTCTGGGACCAGCCTCCTATCGGAACTGGGGAGGGGGGGGGGGGGGGGGGGATTTTCCCTGGAGATTAAACACGGACGGGGCGTGACGCTGTCGAATATCAAAGTCAAGAACGAGGAGCAGCTTGGAGTAGTATTTTCCACGCTACCATCAGAGTGCCCAGTAAATATAACACCGTGTGTTATGAGTAACCTCATTCATTACCGTTATTACGGCAGACAGACTGTATATGGACTGTGGAATTTTTGTTTTTGGAGAGCAGATATTACGAATTCACAGACAAGCAGAAGAATCCGTCCTTCCCAACAAACCTTACATCTATACATGATGTTTCACGTTGTGCTCGGTGGCTAATATTATAAATGTTCCATCATCCCTCACAAATATAACATTTACCCTAGTCCAAAGGTTCAGATTTAGCTTGCATTTTCATGACTACAGTTTTCTTAGCACACATTGGAATGTGTACAGAATATCTGTCATCAGAACACCGGAATAAGTTATCTGGGAAACGTTCTGTAAGGAATTATGTTAAACTTTGCACTTTGCACTTTGCACTTTGACACTAGCATCACTTTGGCTAAGCTGCCCGTAATGATATTTTAACCGCCACTGTGGTCTACCGGTTAGAACGCTGGGCTTGTAACACTGGGGTCCCGGGTTCGATGCTAAGATTTACAACTTGTGTTGGGCAAGGCCGTGGTCCAGGCATCGTGCAGTTTTCCTCCGGGGTTTCCCCGGTTTCTCCGTGGCATCAAAACAATTACTCCACTTTCATCATCATCTCGCGAAAAGGGGTGTCACAGCAGGAGCGTTAAATGTCGCGGTCCCGATCGAACCCATGTACTGATGGGTCGTGAATCCTGCTAACCACCAATACACACCATGCTGAATGGTGTGTACTGGACACGAAAGAAAAAGATATTTTGTCCTAGACAAAGTCTTATATTGGATACAGAGCACACACGAAACACAACATTGCTTCCTCTCAAATAAATCTTTATATTTCAGTTCCCCTTAAGTAGGTGGATCTTAGAATCAGTGCTTGACTTACTTTAACTTGCTGAAGGGCTTCGTCTGGTTTGAACTGTGCAACAGAATCTAGTTGCTGATCGGCCCAGGCCTTGACAGCTTCACTGGCTTCTCGGTACTGTTTCCACAATCTGACGGCGTCCTGGTACCGGTTGCACAGATCCAGAAGGGACTGGCAGGTGTCGTTCCACGCCGTCACTGCTTCTTGTACTGCAGCTTCAATCTTCTGGCTGACCTCAGAATCACACGAGGAAGTCAATGGTTCGGCAGCGGCTCTCAACTCATCCAGAAGGTCTTCCCTCTGGTCCAAAGATCCGTACAAACCCTGTAAAATAAATCAGTGGGAGAAATGAATGTTCCACCTACCCTATGTTGGGTATCGGCTCTTCTGTGCCCGAACAAACGTCTTTGTGGCCTGGAAGAAAGCATGAATGAATGGCTTGGCCTTCTGCCTCTATTCAGTGCCAAATCAAGTGATGACATCATTCGTATCTATAAATTAAAACGTGTTGTGTTGTAATTTTTTCCACCAAGGTAAGATTAATATTCAGTCACAGTAACAAGTCGTATCGCAAGCTGGGTCATGAGTTCAAATTACATGTGCCGTGGGTGACGTCACATGTAGAAAGCTTCCGATGAACATTGAAGGACAGGCAAGTGGCAAGCGAAGTGCAGTTTGCTGAAGAGTTGAGCTCTGTCCTTTGATCAGTGGAGGTGTGGGCTAGGAGGAAAATGACCTAAGTTCGCTTTTTTTGCCAAAAAGTTCAAAATTCAGAAAACGTTTTGATAAATCTTCGGACTGTGCAGCCGCGGTTCTATGTTTTCGACTCAAAGAAATCCACTGTGGATGTCACAGGAGATTTGATAACAATAAGAGGAAGTTCCAGCATGTAATGGGAATTATTTGAATAATTAGATTCCACTGTGAATGCTTCATAATTCGTGGATGAAACGCGTTTTAAGCAGCTTCGAATTACGTCATTCTTCCGGAAATATTTCAAACTACTGTGAACACGCAATCCGTTTCCAGAGGCCTTCGACAGCTCCAGGGAACTTTACTTTCCAAGTCATACTTTGGTCATTTAGAACTCTGAAGGGAATATTAATGTTAAAATTTCGCAGACTTGGGTCTATAAAATACGGTGATTTCTCTATTCATTTAACCCTACGTGATATACACTGATAACAGGAGTATTATAAGTGTTTGAAGGACCTTGAATTTCTAAGTTGATCCGTTTTCCGTCCTCAGGTAAAACGATGGGATCTAACCTCACTTCTTCTTCATAGACAATCGAAATTTCAAGCAGTGGGGCTCGAAATAATCCCTCTTTGAAAACCAACATTCGCCGAGCTACTCGAGAAACTCACCGCCCCTTAAAAAACCGAAAACAGGTCTTAAAAACAAGTTTATACATCACAATTTACGTAACATTACTTACGCAAGTTTACGTGATGACTAACCCTTGTTTATCTAAGACACTCCGTCCTATTCGACCGCTTCGCATCGGGGAACCTTGACTATCTTCACTGGTTTTTCCGGGAAAATGGAGTGTCCCTGTTAATATACGTCAATAACCCGAAGCTCAACTAGACAATGTCAGAAGAAAAAATAAAACTGTGGGTAGATACCCCAATTTGCCCCAAACATGGCATGCCTATGCCTTAAAGCGATGAGCATGTTTTAGAAAGGTCAAGACTCCGAGAAAGTGTACTGCGTTCGAATCCCAGTGAGGGAGATTTCTAACTCGAAAACCAATGACAAAATAAAATGTTAATAAATCCAGCATTGTTTGTTTTAGTGAGATTACAGGAACAAACTTCATAACCCCGATAAAAGTGTCCTAGGTTCAGTTCTCGTAAAGACTTTTTATTATATACAACTAAATGCAGTAGACGACTGAAGACAAATGAACTACAGATTGATAATGTAGTAAAAGGTTCTAATAACGAAGCTATTTGAATCGAGAATGAGATTACTCCATAAAATTACGCAAATGTACAAGAGCGCAAGTTGAACATTTGAGGAAAACAAATGTTCTTGCTACAACTTTGCGTGTCGATTACAATTCCCACTGTGCAGGTTAAAAATCACGAAAAGCCTTTAGCTGTGAAAGCGCTATTGAACACAATCACAGAATAAAATATCCTCATTGATGTGAATGAATTGTAAAAGCGTCTTGTGACATACGATGAACACGCAACACTGCAACAAGAAACCGTTCATGTATGAATGTCAACACTGGATGAAATATGCTGCAAATATAGCACTGTTTTGCACTCAAGGCAAATAATTAATGGTTACTGCCACTGCAGTCTTGATGAGAATTCATCATTCAAACCTGACAGCTCTCATGATGTGAATTATTCAATTACAGAGATTAAAAACAGCTGAAGCGACTAGTTCGACATCGTTTAACAGCACTGTGGGTATATATCCATTATCGTCGGCAAGTGTTTCGTTGACATCGACAGGTTATGTAAATACTGACCTAGAGGTAAAATGTTGAGGGAACGTTTCCGAGCAGTCGGCTCGAGGCCCGGATCTGATATGATGACAATCGTGCACAGGTAAACAACTTCGACAACAGAACACTAATCAAACTTGGCATTCACAACGTTTAAGGCAAGCCACACTCCGCATTAAAGTCCGAAGTCTACCACAGACAATGTGAGAGCCCTCACTGAGCGGGGGTCTCAGCAAAATCCTGAAACGGTTCACATTTTCTCCATTCTACGTCTGTCTTGTACGAGTCCACGTTCTCGAGAGGCTAGCTACCCTGCAAGACTTTTGAACGAGTTCCTCGCTCTCGTACCGAGCCAGAGGGTACTGTAGTTTTACTACCATTTCAGATACTTGCTCAATTTTATCGGTCAAATCACAATAAAATATTATTATTAGATGTTAAAATATTAAAATATTATTACAATTAACATTTAAAAATTGTAATAATATTTTAATATTTTAACATCTAATAATAATATTTTATTGTGATATGACTGATAAAATTGAGCAAGTATATATTCAACACAATAATGACGCAACATTATCATACCATTTCAGATGTTTTGCGTACGTTTAAATGCGAACTGTCAGTACATAATTTTAAAGTAATATGAGAATAAATCTTTAGTGTTAAAAAGGAGATACACGTAAAAGCAAGACTTCCACAACGAACTTCAAGTTATTCACGCAAGCCCTACCTGAGGCTACGACGTAGTGATTAGTACCGCAGGTAAACACGAATTACCACTTTTAACAATGGTGGTAAAGAGCTGAAATTCGGCAGGGACATCTTTCAAACCTTCACATTCATTTCCCATCCTCTTCAACTCAAAACAATGAAAAATACCAACCGCGTTACGTACTACGTTACATTAAAAGTACTTCTAAAACCTGCCTAATGGTAGCAGTGACTGTAAAACAGAACGCATTGCCTGCCATCTGGAATTAGTATTGAGTACTGAGCGCATCCAGATGTAAATCAACGCAAGTATACATCAAAGTAGGTTCTATGTAACGCGGATTACATACATTTGTCATATGTTTCTACTGAGTTTGGTTGCTTTCACGTGGCCAAGAACGGAAACCACAATTAGGGACTGTTTTTGGGAGGGGCAGTTTCCTACTCGACATTCTCTCTCTCATATCCTCTTCGGCGCCACGTAATTTCTTGACAGAGCAGTCAAATGGTCTACGAAACAGCAGTAACAGGATCGGTCCCCGATCTGAAAACCCCCTGGACAGAGTTTCGGTTTCCGCTGTAGTCGGTATAAGTTAGTGCGGTATCCACTTCTGTGCCATTCACAAGGAAACACACATACATGAAATGCCTTCTTGTAAGCACGAACCCGAGGTGGAGAACGTTCCATATAACGCGGGTGGTTGGTTGGTTACTTCGTTAGATGGTCAAAGTATTATAAAACAGCTTTCATTCGGTGGAGGACGAACATTGTGTAGCGTACTCTAGCAACCACAAAAGTTTTAACAACCTGAGACATACGGGAAGACAAGAGTCCTGTCAAATTTAGATCCCATATCACGAAGGACAAGAACCCATATTTACCGGCTAAACAACTTCAACTTTCAAAAACATGGATAACGACTCAGCAACCTATTTTCCATTTATCTTGGACTAGTCCGGAGTGCGCTGCAGGGGACCCGCGTGAACCCCTTGTTAATTTTTAGCTAATTACCAAAGCCATTTCTTATCAGCACATAAATTTTCAGATAATACAGGTTAAACACGAGTATCAGAATATCGATTTACATAAATCCACGTATCAATGCATCTTGTGCGTCCCTATTTCCAAACACAAAAACGAGTCTATATAAAATACATGAACACGTAGAGGGGATTCAAAGTTAAGCCTTCTTTTCCTATATAATTTTAAGAACAGTATTTCTGGACACTACAGAAAAAGTATCTTGGATCCCAAGAGTGCCCATTAACACAGTAGACTGAAAAGTTAATAAAACTCGTTGATAATCAATGCTTCGATCTATATCGAAGCAATTTTAAAAGAAATAGACGTAACATGAACATAAACACACGCACGAATCTCAAACACTGAACAGAACCTTGAACTAGCAATGGTCCAAAATTGTTTTGATAATTTACATTAGCAAATCGTGTAGTAGTAAGTAGACTGCGGCTTTATCCAGAGCGATAATCACCTCTTGTCACGAAATAAAACATCCCTCCTACTTAAACTCCAATACTCTCCTAACTTCACGAAATGCCTACAAACACCGCCATTTGAATTCCTGTATTTTACTATACAGTGGACTGAATTATGAGTACCAGCAAATATAAATGGCTGTGACATTATTACGAGAGAATTGATACAAAAACTCAAAAATCCTGATCACAAATTTGCAGAACCAATGTCTTAACAGTAGGATATACTTTAGTTATATTAAATGTGGTCCTGCAATGTTTCAGTAATTAAAAATATATACATGATTTTCAAACTTACTTACAACTCCAAAATATTCTTGCAAATTACAGCAATTTCCACCCACTCAAATTCAACAACTTTCAACAAGATCCGCGTACAGTTCATTCAAGATATTACGTCGAGTCCCGTTTTTAAGTACGTACTTGAACATACTCGGCCAAAAATGCATTAAACATGAATACAATCTAAGAGACAAACAAAACATCCAACCGCTTCGCGGCACTCCCGTGTTTTGTTCTGTTGCTCGCGAAACTAAGCTACGCGAAAGTTACTGCTTGCCGTTACGTAATTAAATAACAGCACCGCTAAATTTAAGCACAAACGTCACGTCAGCACAGACGAACGGACTGTAATGCAGTAGTAACGTGACTTAATACATGTTTTAATCCTGTGCTTGATACTGACAACAAACCGAGATTTAGCGAAACCGACCTCGTTCCAGCACGTCTCCTATCATTCCTAGACCGAAGTCTTGCCTCGAAATCCCCCCCACCCCCACCTCTTACAAACAATTAACAACTTCCCTAACATTCCAACGCGCGCACCGTATTCTCATGACGTAATATATTAACATGTATGAATGTAATGTTGAGTTCTCACTGGAAGGGGTGGTCGTCCAAGACAATGACATTTAGTTACGGTTTATTAAAAGACGCTGACAATATCTCAGACCGCGTGCGTCGGATGTTATGATTAATGAACAATAAATTGGAAAGAATATGGCCTAATTAAAGTTGCTATCCCAGAAGTTTGCTCGAGGGGCTGAGGATAACCATTATAAACCTCGATCATGAGAGCCATCTCTCGGCCGAGCTTCATATTCAGAATGCAATGTGTTGGTAATCGTTAAAACACTTAAAAACTTGAGAAATTGGAGCATACATGTATTCAAAAAATTTGTACTTGTGGGTTATCGGGACAAATCGCTTTAAAAATAGATTATTTTAGGTTAATGTGTGTGGATAAATGACATATACTTGAAAGTTATTATATTTAATTTCAATAAATGACAACCTAACCTAACATATGCAGGATTTGAGGTTTTCACAGCGGTGAGTATGAAGATTTCCGTCTTCTGGGTTGTTGTTCATCGCCCTGATGACGGAGGCAGTATGACCTCTGAAATGTTGGTTAACATCGACCAGACTACACAGCGCAACAACCCAGAAGACGGAAATCTTCAACCTAACATAACATAACATAACCAAACCAAACCAAACCAAACCCAACCTAACCAAACAAAACAAAACCTAACCTATTTTTAAAGCGATGTATCCCGATAACCCACAAGTACCAAAAATTTAATTGGTTATTCACAGATATAACTGTGGTAACGTAAAACAAAAAGATCAACATAACTGCAAGGAAAAATAGGCAGATGAACCAAATCTCCTTTGTTATGACCACCTATTCACCTTGTCCTTTTTTTTCCCTGGGTGGTTGTGAAATACCAGAATATAAACATTACTCTCTTGTTCTTTGACAATGGGGAAACTCTTGTCCAAACTACAGAATGCTTAAGGAAGACCTCGTATAATATAAAGCAAATTCGGGATTAACCTGAAGGCTATATTTTGGGTCCATCCATACTACTAAAGCTTATACGAAAGCAACACAAAACAAATCATATTTATGGACACATTTATTTTATTGTACATACCAACAGTATGTGGGTCTATAAATGTTCGAATTTCGTAATTTTAAATACCGGCCAAAAACACATCCAACATAGAACTGTCCACAAACAGAGATTTTAATAATACTGAAATAAGATTTTTTCACATCCAACTGGGTAGCCTTATATACATGATGTAAGCATAGGACATGTTAACTTTTTAACTCTGTCAACATTTGTCTAAATATCAGCTATACCAACACAACTAACAAAGCTGAGGTGACAGACAAGGTCACCTCTAAAAATATCTGTGCCTCGCTTTGGAAGGGAGTGGGGGCAGGAAAGAGCTGGAAAGAAAGACGCTGGAATAAACCAGATTCTTTCACGTGTAAGAATGTGTACACTGTATGGGGAAACCAAATGATTGCCACAATGCCAAATTCCTCTTTCCTGCTCGCTGATTTAGTCAGAGACATCTGGCATTGGCTGGGCCTGCTCCGTATCCCCGATGTATCTCCCTGCTTAACCTAAATATAATACATTGCATCATGTAGCAGTCAACTTCTGTAGATGAGTTCATGCTTAAAATTCAAAATAATGTTTGCTGATAGAAAAAACCAAAACAATGAGGAAATTACTATTTTTAAGTCCGCTAACACGAAAAGAGACAGACCCATTTACAACGTGCCAACAGCACATATATATGTATTAGAATACACAATATATAATAATGAAAAAGAGAATCTTAAAAGAATGTTTATGGGTACACAAAAGAATGTAAACACTGAGACGATCATATTTTGTGCAGCAAAAGGGGGGGGGGGGCAGAAAATTTCTGGACTCGTCTAAATGTAATAGTGAAAGCCTTCTAAGGCAAAATTTGTACATCACATCTCCAAAGGCAAGAAAATATATCATAAACCCCAAAAATCTTTAAACTATGTAAGACACAATTTACAGAAAGTACGTGTACTCACCTCCAGTCTCTCGGTTGCTTTGAGCAAGCGGTCGTAGTCCACAGAACCTTGGACGGTGAGCAGTTCCATCATATAGTCAGCTTCCTGGACGGACTGTTGCACCATCTCCAGTTTCCGCTCAAAACGTCTCCAGAGCGCAAGTCTAGCTCGCAACAGTGACAGTAACCTCTCGCATCGAGTTTCTAGAGCAGTGTGCTGATCCTGTAGTTGAGAGATCTCACGCTCTACCTTCACAGGTGACACCGTTAGGCGGAGACACATGGGCAAAGTGTGCAGAAGTTGACGTAACGTCATCAAGTCTTGCCAGTGGGACACCAATTCTTCTGCCACAGCCTGCAAGAAATGTTTTACCGTCAAGAGAAATCAATCAAGGCATTTACAAATGTAGTTACATGCCCAAGTGCCAACAGATAAATTATCTAACCAAGTTGAATTCTGTCTGGTCCGTTTGTTAATTCTACGACATTCACAAGCCACATTCTAAGTTCTTTAAATCTAGAAATTGGTGAGACATGTTCTGTTCACCATAATTATTTTGAGTGGGGTCAGTGCACTGATCAAACAGATGTTACGCATTTTTAAATACAAGGACATTTAATGGCAACGAACTGAAAACGTCGTACAGTTGCGCACCTGACAGTTGATGACAGCTTGTTCCACAATGTCACTGCCTAGTTTCTCACTGGCTTCACACTGGTCAAGCACGGAGCTCGCTCTTCCATGATTTCGCTTTACGCGAGCCAAACCCTTCTGAATGGCCCGCAGTTTTTCTCTCAGCACTAGCGAGCCTTCCAACTCCTCCGACACCTGGGCATCCAGTTGTCGAGCCGTATAAAGCAGTGCGCCCACTTTCTCAGATTCTGTTGCAGATAGCAAACCGAGACGACCCAATTCATCTTGGATGTGTTCCACACGTTCATGAAGAACCTAATACAAATACAACAAATTCCTGACAGAATGTATTTACAATATTATGTATTTTAAAATTAATTTTCATTCTAAAAATATTTGATTTACTAACAGCTAACTATGCCAATTTTTCAAAGAAGTACTTTATGAGCTTAGCCATCAGAGGCTATTATACAGCCAGTTTATGATCCTGATGTGAAACATATTTTCTTACTGAGACTTTTCTTCAAATTACCTGTAATCTCTCAATATAAAGATTCAGTTCCTCCTCATTCTTAATGACACCATGGATGTCATCAATTGTAGCCTTTACTTCCTGTAATTCTTGTTCTAGAAGTGAAAGTTTGTCACTGAATGGTACTTCTTGAGAAGATAGGTTTTGTATGATCGATGTTTGAATTTGATTTATGCGGCCCGCTACGCCTTGCCACCGGTCTTCTAACCGAGCATAAAACTGACGCTGAAGCATCTCATCAGCGACTGGAATTATCCGGATCGCAGACTCAAAAGTACTTCCTGCTTCATTATGAATGTTATTGTGCACCTCATACTGAGCTTTCAGCTCCTGAAAACACATGAACCAAGGACATTAGACAATAATATTGAAAGAATGTAAACAATGATATAACAATCATCATCACTTCCATCATCATGTATGAAGACAGTGCAATTACAACTAAATTAATCATCATCACTTTCATCATTTATGAAGACAGTGCAATTACAACTAAATACATACATTACAAAATATAATAATGAAAAAGATATTTCTAAATATATACTTACCCAGAACTGTCTCGTGTTTCCTCCTGGTGATACAGACCGTGTTGAAATTATATCCAAATCTTTCTCAGCTCCATCCATCCAATATTCCAGCTTATCAATCATAAGGTCATACGCAGACCACGTTTCTCTGAATGCCAAGAGCCGCCGAAGATTAGAATTAACATCATCTTGTAGCTTTAGAATTACTTCCAGATGTTCATCATATCTAGCTTCAAGTCCTACGCAGGTAACAAGTTCCTGAAGTCGGTGGGCTATGCCGAGTAGCTGCACTATACGTGCGTGATGAACAGCTACATCCGAAGACAATGACTGTAACAGTAGCAACAACAAACAATGCAGACCTCTGGGCCAAATCATGTTAAATATTTTAATATGAGCTTTCAAGTACTGAGCAACTGCATCAAACTTTGTCCATTGTGGTATTCTGGGATGTCTTCGGCTGTGAAGAAAAGGACAATGTGTTCCTCCAAAACAATGGAACCCGCCTGCAACTCCATATGGTGTCACAACACAAACGACCACAATGGTCACATTCACGGTCTGCTTGTAACTCCATATGGTGTCACAACCCAAACGACCACAATGGTCACATTCACGGTCATAAGAATCTCAAATCTCATGTATCATATGTACTTTGACTCTTTATGTCACTGAATCTATTCATAGTGGAAAAATATTGACAGTGTAGACTATAGCAAATCACTTAAAAAATATCAATTTATTATTGGCAGTGCACTTGAAAATTTCATATTATATTTCTCTCAATGTCTTCGCTGGAGCAGCCTGTAGTTCAGTGTTCTTCCCCCCATCCCCTCCCCTAATCTTTATTTTGTTTATACATGAAGTCATCATCCAAATAATGTTCAATAAATAATTCTCTACTGCAGTCCGAATGACCATTTAAATCTTCCTACATGCACAATGTCCGTTCTTAATGTGGAAAGAATGGAACTCGCTCTTAGTCTATTTCACCATGTAATTGTAATTGTTTAACCATACTTAAGGCACTTACTTGATATAGGGATATGTACTGGTCATAGTCCGAAGAGTTAACAGTCTGGAGATCTGGAACTCTCTGGTGAGCCACCTGAAGCCATCCCCTCTCCTCCTTCATCCCTTGCTCCAGTACGGTCCAGCGTGAAGCTGCTAAAGCCATCTGCTGTGCTCGGCTTGCAGCTTTATCTAGTATTGCAGTTGCCCTACAGTGCAAGGTTTGGTGTAGCTGGGAGTGTGAGGCACGTGTTTCTGGGTCTAAGTTTCCTTCCAGAGATTCTAAGATTCCTCTACAATGGCTTAAATTTACAAAAAATTTGCGATGTTTTTGCATCTCTTCTTGCAAATGCTCCAAACTAATAACAGATATAGGACTATCAACCAAAGTATCTGCAACATCTACAATCTGCGAAAATTCCTTTAAAGTCTGCTCATAATCATCTGCAAGAGATAAGAGTTGAAGAAGTCTTTCACGCTCAAGTGCAACACTGTGCTCAATGACTTTAGTAGTTTCATGAGCAGTGTAAGTCTCTGGGGGAATCTCCCTCCCTGGGAAGTCCCTAACCAGTTTTCTAGCTGTTCTTAGTAAGCACGAAGTCTTCAACTTATGGCAGCAGTTGACAGTTTCTATAATCTCTAATTCCTGAAGTTTTGATTGAGCTGAAATCTCTGACTGTACAACTTCCTCCAACTGTTGTTTCAACTGTTCAACCATCACACTAATGTTGTTCACACCATTCAAAAATTCTTCCCAAGAGACCAAATCCTTGACAACTTTCTCTTCACTTTCTTGAGCAATTTCTTCTACGGCTTTCACATGTGCCTGGAGTGAGGCAAGACAAAAAAAAATTTTATCGTCTTCATTGCAAATTCCACTCGTCATTTCAAGAACACCTTCGAGAGCGTCTACACTTTCTTCAATGTTGATGATCTCCGCCTTTAGAGTACCATATTCCTTGATCTGCTCCTGTGTTGGTGAAGTATTAGTTTTCTGTCTGTTTAGATACACAAGGTATTCGACAGTCTCAAGCCATGTAGATATAGTCTCTACAGTTGTAATGATTGTTTTCTGAATAACTACAATATCCTTCTTTTCCACAGCTGACTTTAGAAGTTTCAGGTTATGTTGCACATGAACATTCTTTTGTTCTATTGATTCCTCAGTCACAACCTCCTGAAAAGAGGCCAGATACAAAACTCCCGACATATGAGTAGTTTTACAGGCATTTTCAAGGTTTTTCACACGTTCCAACAAAACATTATTTGCTTTCTTCCATTTTATTCTCATAGACTCCTCGACTGGAATACTGATGACATCTGAAGGTTGACTTGGTTCTAACTGTATTGAAATGTCTCCTGCAGTTACAGGGCCACGGCATTCGGACAATTCCATTTCACGTTCAGAATAACTAATATTGGGATCCTGTGCGTCTGTTAAGGGCTCTTGTAGGAAAAGCTCTGATTCTTCCAAGGTTGTAATTGGTGTTAGATCTTGACCAGGAATTGCTATGGATTCATCTTGGATTTTTTCTGTAATATCAGAATCTGCCATTGACTTACTGATCACATCCGACAGTTGACGTGGTTCCAACTGTACTGAAATGTCTCCTACATTTACAGGGATCTTGCATTGAGACAGTTCCACTTCATGTTCAGAATAACTAATATGGGGTTCCAGAGTCTCCATTGAGGGCTCTTGTAGGATAAGGTCTGATTCTTTTAAGGTGGTAATTGGTGTTACATTTTTTTCTGTAATACCAGAATCTGTTACTGATTCTTCTTTGATATATGTCAGATCAGACTCCACTGCTGTATCTACTGGATATTTGTGAGAATCTATTAAAAACTGTTCAGTAACTGTGGCTACATCTATTTCAAGTGTTGCTGGTTCCATGTCTTGGTCAGGTGTATACAATTTGGCCATTGCTGATTCATGTTCTATAGAAGGCCCTGGTGAATGTTCCCCTCCAACAGGCTGTCCAGATACTTTACGTTCTTCTATCAAAAATACTGTCTCCACATGATCAGCAGGTTTTTGTGGCAGCTCAGAAACAGCTGAAAAAGACTCTCTGACCTGAGGCGTAATTTCATCATCAGACACGTGTCCAAGTGCTTGTGTTTCAACAGCAAGTTCTGCGTCTGTCACTGACTTAGTGTCTGCAGGACATTTTAGAACTTTTGAACTCTTCTTTGACTTGTTACTTACACAGAGTTCTGAATGCTGAGGTTTGTCTTTAGATGTAATCTCAGGCTCTGAAGGAATTACAACCTTGTCTTCAGTCCAGACTGGACCCTTTTCAAATTCAATTTTGGTTTTAATATTTTCTGGTTTCAATTCTGGTTCATCCACTTTATGTGATCCTTCTGTAATAAGATGAGCCTCTCCCAAGTCTGTAGGTTCAGAAAAACTATCTGATGACAATGTTTGTTCCTGGTACCCTAAAGCGACAGGTTCTAGAACATTACTACTCTCATAAATTTGAACTTTCTTGGGTTTCTTTTTATGTTTTGATTTTCTGTCCTTTGAGAGTTTTCTCTCCTCTGGTTCAGTGTATTTAAATGTTGTCTGTCCTTCAATTTTAGTTTCTAAGTCAGAATCTGGAACAATTTTATCTTGAACACATTTTATTGCTTGTTGTGTGCTTCCTCTTTCTTTCAGAGCTGTTCCTATTTCTGAGGAAAGGAAATCATGCATAACTTTCTTTCCATCTTCCTTAGGTTCTATTCGAGGCAAATCTGATGAAGTACTAGGTTCGATATTCTCTTCACTTTCAATTGAAAGGTCAGTGATTGGTTCCACTTTCATTCCAGGGATATTAAATACATTTGTTGCGACTTGTTCTGATTTCACATCATCAGGAATCAATGGTATTTCTGTTGTAGTACAGACATTCCTATCTTGTTTGATATCACATACAGATGATACAAAGCCATCACCTGGGGTTCGGGGTTTTCTGTCTTCAGAGGCTCCTCCAGTATTTATGTCACAGTTTGATCTCCAAATGTCACCAGATTCCAAAGATGGAATAAATGAAACTGAAGTCTGGACATGGATTTCATATGGCTCCTCTGAAGCGGAATAAATGAAACCGAAGTCTGCACATGGATTTCATATGGCTCCTCTGAAGATGAAGATTGGGACCTCTCATCTCCATATTCTTTCACAAAAACAGGTTTAGTCTGGATAGATGTTTCCGCAGTCTCAACTTTTTTATCTACAGGAATAAAGAGTACATGGGACAAAGTTGTTTCAGGAAGGTCTCGTACAGGTTTATCATCCTCTCCAGGGTGACCAGTACCTATAATGTCTGTCCTCTTTGGCTCCAAAACTGAGTCATCTTCTGGATCTGATAAACCTAGTGGTAGTGTTTGTGAAAATTCCTCCGAAATAGGAGCAACTTTGTTGTCCTTTGTCTGAATGGAAGAATCTACCACAGTAATTGTCTCTGAGTACTGTTCTACTGTAGGTATCTCTTCCTTTGGTGCTTGAATGAATGTTTCTTCAGGTGATGAAGTCTGAGCATATTCCTCCTGTCTAGATGGAACTAAAGCTTTTGTGGTCTGAGCTAAGATTTCTGTTAACTCAGTTTTCTCAATTTGTGGCACTCCAGGTAACACAGTCTGAGAATATTTATCTACAACTGGAATTATATCTTCCTTGGTAGTCTGAACAGAAGTTTCAAACACGGGAACCCGAGCTATTTCAGAAACTTCAGGTGAAAAAACTGTTTGTGTTATGCCCTCTTGAGTTTGTGGCAAATCTACTTTCATTTTCTGGCTGAGCATCTCAAAAGTTGCAGATGGTCTTTCAGGAGTAGCAGTTTGGGCTGATTCTTCACATACTGGATTAATCTCTTCCTTTGAAATCTCCAATTTCAGTGTTTCTGGGATTTCTGCTGGTTCTGGTGTTACAGTCTGCACTGATTCTTCATGCACAGGTGTCAATTCTTCTTTCAATGTCTGTATGGATGTATCCTTTGTATCTGCAACAGGAACTTCTGGTGTCAGTGTCTGCATTACACCCTCCTGTATTGGTGTAGTTTCTTCAGTCTTGTTTTGAATGGATGAATCCACAGTACCACCAGGTACTAGCCATATGGGTTCCGAAGTCAAAGTCTGAACAGCTTCCTTATGAGTAGGAAACAGTTCCATCTCTGATGTCTGGATAGATGTTTCAGTCATTAAGACAGCTTCTCCTTCTACTAATTCTGGTGTTTTGGTCTGTGCAGATTCTTCATGTGTGAATACAAGATCTTCCTTCCATGTCTGAACAGAAATATCCGTAGTTTCAGTTTTCTCTAATACAGGAATCTCAGGAGTCACAGTCTGCACACTTTCCTCTTGTGTGACTGGTACTTCTTCTTTGATAGTTTGAATAGAAGATTTAATCATAACAGTGTCTGGAGATTTTGAAACATCTGGGGTGACTGTTTGAGTAAACTGTTCTTGTACATGTTCCAGCTCCAAAACTTGAACAGCCTTAGTATGAGAATCACTTAATACGTCAACGGCCTCACTTGGTGGTCGTGTTGGAACACCTTCTTCCATTATTTTAACACTGTCAACCAGTTCTTTGTGTGTTTCGTCAGTATATGCCTTCTTCCATTATTTTAACATTGTCAATCAGTTCTTTGTGTGTTTCGTCAGTATATCCAGGGCTACGAGCATCTGCAATTTGCAGACTCAAGGCTACGTCTGATTCCCTGAATTCAAAAGCATTTTCTGGCTCACTTTTAGCTTTCTTTCTTTTTCTCCCCTTCCTGTCAATGGGTACACCATCTGATGTCAATTTCTCTGCAGTGCTATCACTGATTGCTGTACTTACTTCATATGACTCAGGAACATGTACCTCTCTTTCCATCTCCTTAGATGGCTCAACATCATGCTTTTCAATACTACTAAGATCAGATGAGTCTGCTGTCTGATTTGCTACTAGATCTATGCTTGACTTAGGGATTATACTAGATGAATCTTTAGATTCTTTCACTATCTTCTGTTTCTTTTTCTTCTTCCTCTTGTTCCTTTGCTTATCATTTTCCTCTATTATTGATGTTTCATCCAATGTTGTTTTGTCTTCAGGATCATACCCTGTATCATGTGTCCTTTCACTGTCTCTTGGTGAGTGTGGGGAAATGGGTGTTTCAAACATTTCAATCTCCTGCTCTGTTGGTTTAGTCGTGTCAGATGAGGTTGATGCTGGTGATCCTGGTATAATAATATCTGTAGATTCTGCAAGGGATGTTTCAACTGACACTTGACCTTCATGTGTGTCCAATGTAATAACATGACTGATGACCTCAGAAATTTCTTCTGATGCTTTTACTTGTTCATTATCATCAACCTCATGTGAACTTTCTCCACGTCCTTTACCTTTATGCTTCTTTCTCTTCCTGCTTTTCTTAGATGTACTACTTTCTGCTTCACTCTTTGAAGATGTTTCTTCCTTTGGTTCACTTTCAGTCTTCAATGATGTAAGTAAAGGTCTGGCACTTGTAAAAACTTCTTCGGTTACAGTGTGTGACATTGTTTTTGCACCAGGTAACTGAATAGCAAAGTCCTCTTTAACAATCTCATACTGAGATAATGTAACTGAAGAGAGTTCATCCCTCTTGTCTTCTGATGATTCTCCAAGTCCTTTCTCCTCAATTTTAACAACTGCTGATACTTTGGGAGCCATGTCTGAAGTTTCTTGCAGAAAGGGTTTACCTTTCTCTTCAACAGATAAGATAAACTCAATTGTTTTAACACCTTGTTCTGGAGATGTTTGTGATGTAACATCTTGACATATGCTGCCATCTGGTTTCTTGACAGTTTGTTGAAATTCATTTGGCCTGGGAAGTTGTGTTACTGGCTTAACCACAACGCCTGGAGTAAAATCTTCATCTTCAGGTACTTCAGACGTTCTCACGTCAATAACTCTTGAGAGTTCTGGCTGTGAAACTGTTGTAACTGTGTCTTCTACAGTTGAGTGTGGTTTATCTGTACTTTGAGACTCTACATCAACCTCAGAAGTAACTTTATGCACAGTTCCATTATGTTCTGATAATTCACTACCCTTTGCTGTCTCTTCATCTACATTGTCACCTGTGGTTGTATCTTGGGTCTGTAGATCAAAATATTTCTGTGGTACTGGTAAGTTAACTGGTATATACTGATCCTGCAGTTCAATCACTGCTTTCTTTGGTTCTGACTCCTCTGTTGGTCGTGTTTCTTTCGGTTCAGGTAAAACGTAGCTTTCCATAGCAGGTGACATGTCAGAACTTTCTTCAGTTGGAATTTGAGTCACAGTTTCAACGCCAGTTACTGTAGCCTCATAATGGACTAGACATGGAGACTCTGGTTCTTCAAGTTGTCTCCCAGAGCCTTGTTCCTCCGCATGCTGTATATCAGAATCTGCTACAGGTTTAAGCCTTGACAATCCAGACTGTAACTCTGTCTTTGGCTTAACTTCTACTATTTTCATGCCAACTGTATCAAATACTGAAGGTGTATTTGAAATAATTTCTTCAGTGCCTGTCACAATTTGCAACTCATCTTGCTTGTAAGTACTGGATGTAACATCACCAAATATTTCCTCTTCCACTGGTAATTTTTCCCCAGCTATTACTGCATTTTCTTTGTTAAATTCAGAAGCAGCAAGATTATCATTAAATTCCTGTAGATGTGTGCGCTCAACACTGGTTTCGGGCATAATTTTATCTTCTACCACCACCTGTGTATCATGTAAAAGTGGTGATTCACTTCCATCTTGCAACTTTCTATCACCCTCATCTTCCAGTTCCCGATTTATAGCTAGCACTGTCTTAGCATCATGAGTTCCTAGCACTACGACTTCCTCAGGCTTGTCTACAAACAGCCTACCAACTTCAGTTTTCTCTGCCGTCACCTGCTTCTCTTCATGTAGTGATCCTGGTGCAGTCAATGTCAGCTGTCCTTGAATGTGCTCCTGCTTTTCCAATGGTGTCTGAACATCCATGATAACTTCTGAATGTTCATCTTGCAACTGAGATGGCTCATATTTTTCTACCACAAGAACATCTTGAGTTTCATTTATCGGTTTTCCTTCTACAGTAACATTGCCAGAGGTGTCTAAGCCTTCTTGAAGAGGTAAAATATGTGACATTCCTGGAACAAAACCAGGATCTACTTGAACTGGTTTATCTCCAGAACTGAACAGCTGGTACCCTGTTTGGAGATCATGGTACGATATCTGCTGACCAATATCAACATCCCCTGTTCTAGAAATCTCAACTGTCACTCTTGGAATATCTTCGGTCACTTCCACTTCCTCTGGCTCTTCCACTACCTCTTCAGTCACATGCTCCTTCCCATCAATAACAACAACCTTTCGGACAACTCTTCGAATTCTACGAACTCTTCTGGTAACCTG